CAGGAAGCTTTTCATATCTATAGCAGTGTAGGGCTTAGGTCTTGATCAGGACCTGAAAACAACGCCCTCAACATCAAAACAAACACAGTAGGAAACCTCAGTGTATCCTCCTAAACAAAGATATTTACTCAAGTAAGTACATTTCTAAACCATTTATTCCAGAGGTAAAATATCTCTATAAAACTGCTGGGAGTGATGGGCTGTGCATGTTTGGACAAGTAACTTACCTGGGGATCACCATGTTTGTCTCATGTTGGTCCTTTGAGGAATAATCAGCAATTGTTTTAAATAATTCAAAATGTGGAAAAGTGACAAATAATATTCTTATTAATACTTTTAGTAAAAAAAATAAAACTAAGTCCTGGAACACATTCACAAGGAGAACACAGAGCATCTTGCAAAGACCAAGACTTAAAAATAGATCAGAAATGTATCAATCAATTTTAGGATTGTTTTTTGTGAATGAGACAGCGTTCTATAAATCAGAATTCCTTAATAAAATTGCTACTCTTTTGCCATAATCAATGCCCTTGGTTTCAGTGTAGCTGGACTGATATAACTAATAATGAAGCTGATTCATTGTATTTTCTTGCTAGAAATAAATCTTAACTAAATTGAGGCCAATGACAAAACAACTACTGCCATCAGTGGAGGCAGGGTTGAACCTTCAGAGCTGCCTTTGTGCAGGAGGACAGATCTGTTTCATTTTAGGTGTTGCTGCTTTTCTTCTTTTTTTCGGTTTTACCTTTGCAATTTTCTGAGAAGAGAACTAGAAGCCGCTGGCGTGGTTTAGCATGAACTTGAGAAATACTTTCCACTGTCAAAATGCAGCTCAGCAAACAATCATTACCTTGGGCAGGCAGAAAAGATACTCGGTGTCTTCTGGACTCCAGCTCCTCTCTGCAGGAAGGGATCTCACCACAGGCTTAGAACAAAAAATCGAACAAATTGAAATGGCAGCACCATCCCCGATGGTTTAGTGTAGTTACAGAGAAGTAAATGTAGATGAAAGTGTTCTACCATCCTTTTGAATATGAGAATTATGTAAGATGAAGCCAGTGATAAATCTGTTACATTTTCTGTGAGCATTCAGATAAGAACTTCAAGGAGTCATATGAAAATTTCAGACACAAGATCATTTTGGCATAATTTCTCCTTTGAGAGAGTTTTATTTTTTATATTCCACCTGAAGTTTGAAAGTTTGTATTCTGAGACTTGCATTAAATCAAAACCTGAGCAAGAGGCAGTCAGGCTGAAAAAATTCAGACATGTTTGTACAAAGATTTCTTGTGCAGCTGCTGCTGGAGATGGTGGAAGCTCTACAAATGAAAGATGAGTCGGATGGACCCCTTTTTAAATTTTTTCCATTTTTTCTTTTTTTTTTCCCTCCTAAAAGGAATAAAAATGCCTCTGGTCTCACTCATAATTTTAAACAAAATCAGATTGACCATCCTTATGGTGTTGCTAGCAAGAACCTTGTTTCTTGTGTGACTAAATCCCAACAGCAAACACCATCTGCCTGTTGGAGGAGCAGGCAAGTCACCACCGAGACAAAGTCTCACTCATTAGGGCTTGGGAAACATCAGGGCTCTTTTTCCACATTCTGTGCATTTGTTTATTGAAGGTCTTGGTCTGATATTGAATAAATTTCCCCCTATTAAACTGAAGAATTTACAAAGAGTTTTGCTCCAGATCCAAATTCATATCAGGTGCCATTGTGTGAAATTTTACTAAATTCCTTGAAACAGTAGATGGTCTTGGAAAATTATCTTACAGCTAAGAAATTCAGACTGTGATAGAGCAACATAAATAGTAGTGGCACATCAGTTTACCCTTGCAGGAGTAATGTGTATCAATTACTGTTGTGAAACGATTCTTAAGTGCTATTTCTCCACAATAACCATAGGAACTAAGAAAAAGCTGTGACTTTTTATTCAGGCATTTAAATTCCAGCAAGTTCTAAAAGGCACATCTTTGCCTTGGATTTTATTCATGTAAATAGATACATACACTTGAAAAAAATGCTATTTTATCTGAAATAATAGTTGTGCACTCTCTGATTTAGTTAAGTACTATTATTTTGGAAGTTAACATTTTCCATTCTGCTCTAGAATGATTTTAACATTTTGTACAGCAAGTAGAAACAAATGAATAGCACACCAAAGTGCTAAGTTAGCTACTTTAAAGTACATGTACAAATCTGTTTCCTTTGCTGAATGCAGCTGCTTCCAGCAGGACTGCCCAGCACTTCAGTCCTCATGAAAGGTCCCAGAATGGGCTGGCTTGGAAGGGACCTCAAAGCTCCTCTCATTCCAACCCCTGCTGTGGGCAGGGATGTCACTGCCTGGACCAGGCTGCTCAGGGCCCCACTCAAGCTGCCTTTGAAGGTGGATATTTCTATTGGATTGGTGTCAGATCCATGGCTATGGAAAGTCATCCTACAGAAGGCGAGGAGCAGTGGGGTTCCTGCAGCAGAGCTGTCCAGCAGTGGTGCCTTCTGTTCCCTTCAGCATCTTCCAAAAGGGAGGCACCACGCTGAGCTGCCTGGACACCTTCTGTGAGATCGTGGGTATGACTGGAACATGTGGGATCTTGAGCCTCAGCAGAGGAAAACCTTCCTTTAGGCACTGACTGTGCACATCTGGAAAGCAGCTGCTCTGCCAGGAGTGACCCTCATCTGCAGAGTGCAGTAGGCACAAGGCTTAGCCCCCTTAAACTTCTGCTCAGATGCATTTACAGTCTTTGGGATTTGGTATCTTGCAAGCATTTTATGGTGGGGTGGGTCCATGAAAGAATAACCACTGTTAACAAAATGTGGTGTTGTGGGGGTATCTCTGGCCCATGCTGCTGGAGCAAATGAAGGCATCAGTACCACCCCACAGTTGGTTGTCAGTGGGAAAGTACATTCATCTTGACATTTCTGAGCCAACATTTCCAACAGAAACTGAGGTGTTGGTATTTGACCATTAAAAGTGAGAGCAAAATTGCAAAGGTCTACGTGGACGTAGGAAATTGATATGTGCAATTATGAAACACTTTCCAGAGGTGTCCATGGCAACTAAAATTCATAACTTTATGGGATAACACAAATCCCAATAGAGATCATGATCGAAATATTGACTTTATGTCAAACTGTAATTCCTCTCTCTACTCCTCATCTAACCTTTTCATATTCCACAGGATACAAATTACTGACCTCTTCCTTTCCATTAGAAGATAAGGACCTTATCACCTTTCCTCTTTTCTGCCATCCTTATCACTCTACAGGCAGGAAGCCTGTGCTCCCAGGTGGTCTAATTGATATATATCTAATTAAAGGCAAAGCATTTTTTCTCAGCTTGTATTCAGCTTTTAAGTGTGTTGCTTTGATTTCAGACCTGAAGAACAGCTTTGTGTGCCTGAAATTTATTCTTTTTCAGATTGTACTAATTGGTCAAATCAAATGTACTACAAACTTTGCCTTCACTGTGCACAAATACATTCATTTTTGTTAGAGAAAAAGAGAAAACAATTTGTCGTGGATCTAGTTAAAAGCTATGTGTGAGATCTGCAGTTCTTCAGAGCCTTTGAGATTAGGACAAAATGTTCAAATATGATGAGATAGAGAAAAAGGATTCAGTAGAGACAAAGGTAGAGAAGTGGATTAGCAAGTAAAACAATGTTAGGGCTTACTCAAATCAAGGTTCAAGTTCCAAATTTCTTACCTTCTTGTGGCCTGTTGCTGTAGGGGAAAAAATTGGGATTATGCAAAATTGAGGAACTAATATAGGGTGCCCTCCATCCTCATATTCCTTATCATTTTGTCTAGTCAGACTGTCTTGTTGCCAGTTGCTAATAAGGCTTGTGATGGTTTGGGGTTTCTCTGAGCTAATTGCTCTTTTGATTTGGGCTCTTTAAAGTATGTGATAGGATTGCTGTTATAATATGCAATAACCACAAGAATCTCATCGAGTTTTCTGAGGACAGATTGTCACAAGCCCTTTGTTTGCTTGTGCTGAGCTGGTACTTGGCAGCTTGTGTGGTAGCTCAGCCATTCTCTAAATTAACAGGTTATTCTTTGTATTTGAAGGGGGATTGATGTGATTGAAGTGATTAGCATGTATATGCCTAAACAAATTGCTCTGAGGGAGAGAGGGGTCCAATCAAGAAAACTGGATAGGTCCAAAGGCATATCAGGGTTGGAAGAACCTTGGTATGTTCAAGAGTGTGCAAAGGACTTGAGAATAACATTTCAGACCAGAATATGATTGGGAAAGTACAATTTTACTCTAAAACCTTTGTTAATGAAAGTTCAACAATGTATTTTTGTTAGATTTCTTTGGAGGCAAAAGCCCTGATGCAGATACGAGACATAGTGAGAAAAAAAATCAAGTGCAACAATTTATTTTTCAGTGATGGCAAAGTTGGGCCAATCCTCACAGTGTTTGGCTTCCTAAGTTACTTGAGAGTCTATAGAAAAATGATCATTAAAGTGCTTAGATGCATTTTAATAATATTGTCAAGTGACTCAAACTTCTTTTCTCAAAGGACTTGGAGTCTACATGGTTTTTTTTTCTTAAGATCTGGTGCTCCTGTCTCTGTGGTCCAGCCATAGTTACCCCAAATCTTATTGCAGGACTTCGTTGTGTGGGGAGGGCAGGAGAATCCTGTGTCCCAGAGCATTTTAGAGTTCACCTGCTGGTTAAAATCCCTTTACATTTCAGCATGTGGAAGCACTTGATTCACTGTTTACTTAGTCTTAACTAACATACTTACAAATACAAAGTCTAATGATAGAGGACTGGCCTAATTCTTTACATTTGTATGCACACAGGTTTTGTTATTTTTTCCACAAGTGACACCATGGACTTCATAAGCTAATGGGAAGACCCCAAAAATACTGGTTTTCACCTTCAAAATACCTTTATTTACACCTAGTAGTATATCATTGACAAAGATTGGCTTTTGAATACACGTGTAACATAAAACTAATATATGTTTTTCTTGGTTTTGCCTTGCAGTACAGAATTGGACAGCTGTACATGATCAGCAAGCACAGCCATGAGCAGAGTGACCGAGGGGAGGGTGTGGAAGTGGTGCAGAATGAGCCCTATGAGGATCCCAACCATGGCAATGGGCAGCTAACAGAAAAACGAGTCTATCTCAACAGGCAAGTGCACTAAAACTGCTTCTCCCAGCATGGACTGCAAGAAAAATCTGCAAGGAATGCAGGCAACAGCCTTTCTGTTTCAAAAGAAGATGTTCCATGAATACCTGCTGCTTCCTGGTAGCCATGGGAGGTGGGACAGATCAGTGGCTTGAAGTAGAGGAATTGGCTGTTATCCCTTCTAGAGCATCTTCTCCATGAGAAGGAATTATAACTGCGAGTTCAGGATATACTGGAAAACAGAACTTTTGTTTTCTTTTACACTTAATTGTTTGTCATTCTGTTTTCCAAAATTGTTGGGGAGGGGGAGCCAAAAAACTAAACAACAAAACCAGCAAAGACCCACCCTCCAAGAAAAACAAAACCGAACCATTAAAAAGGCTTAAGTTTTTCTCACCTCATAATCATGTCACAAAGCCAGCATTTTTGCTGACTGTATTCTGCCTCAACAAAGTTAATTGACATTATGAATGACCATTGTCAAATGTCAGCTTTCTGGATCATTAGGCTTAAAGACAGGATGGAATATTTGGGGGTTTTCTCCCTGAAGTTCCATCATGTCTTCGAGTGAAATGTTTGTCTTCCTATGCTGAAATGATACTGCTGAGGGTCAATGTCTCCACACTCACAGGCTGGAGATGTTCAGATATAGATATTTCTGCAATATGAGATATATTGCACAATCTGTTCCCATTTTTACTACTGCTGATTTAATTGAATACCCCTGCTTTTCCTGAAGTTCTTCTTTTCCCCTGGGCCTGTTTCATTGTATTAAACTGATGCTCTGCAGCATTTTTGAAGTGGGCATACAAACATTGAGGCTATTGCTTCTACATTACAAGTTCCTCCTGCACTGCAAACCTGACATATCTAACCTTAATTCAGGCCAAATTGAATCACCAGTGATGCTGCACACACACACACACAAAAATTCAATAATATATATCTTGCCAACATTTAATATTATTGTCATTGTAAGTGTTCTCTCACAGGCCAGATACAGGACTTGGGAAAAATCAATATATGTGTTCCCATAGTAGAGCTCCCACAAGTTGTGGGGGTTTTTTTAAATGTTTCTGAGTATTTCTTTCCTGCATGTTAAAAATAAGGCTTTAATCACTGAGGAGCATATTCAGAATTGTCACTTCAGGGCAATTCAGAATGACCACAAGAACCTAGAAGCCGTGTACAAACCATTCTTGGGAAGCACTTGATTCTTGGTAATGCAGGCAATGGAACACAGGAGTTCTTAGCCAAAGATGGGTACAAACATTGACAAAGCAGATCTTTGTGCCTGCAACAACTCAGGACAGTTACCTAAAGCTGTGGTGGGTGTTTAAAGTCAGGCTCACTGAGTTCAATGATAATTCTGAATCCTCCATCCCCAGATTTGCTATTTGAATCTGGCTGTGGTGTCACAATCCCACCAGATATTGCAGTACTGTTGTAGCTTTGTGGAAAGGATCAGGAGGTTTTCAGGCTGCTGTGGATTTTGCTGGGAGGCCAGGATGTCCCTGGAGGATTTCTCTCAAGGAGATGTGTTCCCATACAGGATGTGCTGGAAACTTCTCCTCTGCCTGCCTTGCTGAGGAACTTCCACCAGCACAGTTCTGTCCCTCAGCTTTTCTTCTTCCTGGGTCCACTGCCCTAACAAACTTTGCTTTGCTCTATTTTGATCTGAACTGATATCTCTTAAAGAAATTTGTGACTGAACTTCATCTGGGTGGAGGAGAAATAAGGAAAAGAAAAAAAAGCTAATGTGATCCTCATACCTGTGCTGCTGAAATAGAGATATTATCTTTTCTTGGAGTGGACCTTGGAAGAATTCGTGTGTGTCTGTGACTGGGACTTGCTAGCAATTCTGAGTATAATCTGTGTTTTCCTCATAAAGTTATTTTTTTCAGGATGTTCTGTACTGGTAAAGATAGGTAGACAGGCAAATATGTTAAAAACAGCAATAACCAAAAAAGTGCAAAATGAGCAGATGTATATTTTCTAGTGTCAGTATAACCTTAGTTATATTTAGAATTGTTTATTGCCTCTTCTCTCCTGCTGGAGCAATGTTTTCAGAAGCTGAAAGTCTGCATCCTCTGGTATTTATAATTTAGGCATCAGAGCAAAGTTTAGCAGGGGTAAAGGAAAAACATTCATAAAAACACTGACAGAGGCTGACAAAATAAACAGAAGATCTGATACAGGGAAGTCTATTATGCAGGATGTAAAATATTGCTTAAAAGCCTGTACACAAGAAAGGTTTATGTAAAGAAAATAATCCAGTTTTGAGCAATGTCATCAAAGAGCAAAAGTCAATGCACTTGGCTTTGAATCTGTAGATAATGTACTAACATCTGCATTTTGCCTCTGGACAAATAAAATATTTATATGTAGCCAGATCATGGTTAAATAAGCCTTAATGATCCCAAATGTATTTTCTTCAGAATTTTGCTAATATGGAAAGTTAATTTACTTCCTGCACACAGTTATCTAAACAGAACTATTTCAAACATTTACACTTGGGAAACTGAGGTTTGGAAGCATCTCCTGCAGTTCAGCACAGATCCAGTCTTGGCCTGGGTGCTCTGCTCAATGTTTTGCCAGACCAACAGCATTTGAACTGAGTCCCCCAAGCACAGGGCTGTTTGTGGTGTCCAAGGTCTGCTGTCCTTGGAATAACTAGTTCTGCATCTTTTGTTCCTGGCAGCCTCAGTGCTTCTAACTGAAGTCATAAAGAGAGGGTTGAAAGATGAATTAGAGTGAACTTGCCTTTTTGAATATTTCTTTTTGCATCAGTTTTTGGTACCCTCTGTGACCAGAATGCTGGAAATGAGAGATCCAAAAGCCAGGGTAAAAAAATGCTACCACCCTTCCATGGTATTATTCAATTACCCTTTAATGATCCCTTCAGATGGTGTATCTATGCCTTTGATTTCTGATTCTGCTGCCTTTGCACCACTGCACTGGTGAGTTTTCTTGACAGAATGAGCTCTGAGCTGTAATGTCAGTTCCATTAATTCTCTTCACTTTTGTTATTTACTCTTCCCATCAGCAAAATGGGACTAATGCTGCCTACCAGCCTCACGAGGTGTTTTGAGTGATCTGTTAATTTTAATACAAAATCTTCCTACTCAGGAATTGCTGTTGGTAGTGTGGGAACAGCTGCGTGCCAGGTGAGCTGAGCACGAGGGTTTCAGTGCTGGCAGAGAACATGAAGGAAGAAAAAAGAATCTGTAAGAAGAAATAATGGGTTCAGGATCAAAGTGGACTGAAATCCCACATTTCCTCCTGACCTCTTGTTGGAGAGTGCCTCCCTGTGGCTGAGCACACGGTGCCACCAGGACACCTTGTCTGGCCTCACCTGTTGAGGGTGGCCAAAGGTCCCAGGCCATGAATTCCCAAAATGAGCAGCCTCGGTTCAGCCCACTCCAAGGTTGTTGCTCTGGCCCCGATCTGCTCCCTCTGAGGCAGAAAATGAAAATGCTCCTGAGAAGTCTGGGTGTTGCTGTCTCCCTCAAACACCTCACAAATGATGGGCATGTTTGGAAGTATCTTTATTTCTACAACACACGTAGAAATAGTCATAGTATATTCTAAGTCATAATATATTCTAATAACATAAGTCATAAGTCATAAGATATTCTAATTTTATATTTTATTTTTACTTTCAGCAAGCTGCCTAGCTGGGCTAGAGCAGTTGTTCCCAAAATATTTTATGTTACAGAGAAGGCCTGGAATTATTATCCTTACACAATCACAGGTAAGGAATGTGGCAGAATTGATTGCTGCTTTCTGGTTTGGGGATAGTTTAGTTTATCTGCAGAAGCTCCAAGTTATATATTGAACTACAAGCACCAAGTCTCTTTAACAACTCCTCTTGAACTGGATATATTTTTCACCTTATATTTACTGATACCAGGAAATTAAGATTATATAGTTAAAAACTGTTATATCTATGCAATTTCTTACTTGCAAAGAAAACATCAGGTGCTTGGATTTTTTCTGACATGTGTTCTTTATTGTCCCTTAGACTTAAGTCAAATATAAATTTGCAGACTATCTGACATAATCATTTTTATTATTAATGTGTGTTTACTGTAAGGATCTTGCATCATTGTTTCATTTCATGTTTCTCTTTTTTTTTCTTTTCCCTCTTATTTCTTTTTTTTTTACAAATGGACAATTGGAAATCAGAATACACAGTAAGTTTTTCTTCCTCTTTTTATTCCAAAAATAGAAAATTGATGTAAAATATAGTAGTAGAATCCAATCAGATCCCTTCTTAATATAACTTATTTATAATGCATTCAATAGTGAAACCTTATTTTAGTTTAAGCAATTTAAAGGGAAATTGGAAGTAATTCTAAGGGGATCCTATAAATTATTTTTCTTTATCACTTCAAAATAATTTGATACGTTTTTACTTACTGACTCTAAGAAAGAACCTTCTATTAAAAAGGGTGAGGCTTTTAAGGTTCCAGTTGTTACATGGAGACATGAGAACAGATTTTATTTATTGGTTTATTAACTTATAAAATGCTCATCTCTGGTATAGTATCTGGGAAACTGTACAATCTGTAGACAAAATTAAAGATAATCTGGGCACAGTGCCCAGAAAAATCATCTATTCCCTCTTGCCTAGCTAAAGCAAAATATAGCACATAAATCATGAGAAAAATTGTTTAAATATGCTGGCCTCAATAATAGCAATAAGTTTGCAGCAGCCTTTGGAAGGTAAGGACGGGATGAGGAGGAGGTTCCAGGTGAAGGGACCTTTCAGAAACTCCTCCTTTGATTTAGCTTGAACTTCTGACTGCAGGTAAAACATGATGCAGATGTTTCTCTTAATTCTGCAGGGCTCAAAATGTTTGTGCAGATTTTTTAAAAGCTCATAAAGCACAAAGAAGAACAAAAAGAATAGTGTGATAAAAGGAAAAAAAAAAAATAAAGGGATGTAAAGGCTCAGATCTGAAAGCTAGAGACCAAGAGTTGCATCTGTGATAGCCAAGTTTGAAAACCCAAAGCAACAAACTGTGCTTTCCAATCTGTGCTACAGGAAATTAGAATATTTATTTGATTGTCAGAGGTGACACAAATGTCCCAGAATGGACAACAGACTCTCAGCTGGTTTTGCCAGAAGAGACTTTTGGTAGGGTCTGTCAGAGTTCACATTAATTAAGGCTTACCTTTGATAGCACATTTAGTTTTAGGCTGGGAAGTTGACATTTGCTGTGTTGCACTGATATTTCTCCATGGTAAATTTTTTCTTTAACTGAAAGTAAATTTGAATCTTTTAATGTGATTTTTTTTCTTCAACTGAGAGAGACAAGTGGGGATGATGCAAAGGGTGGTGGCAGACAGAAATATGTGTCTAAATTTGAAATGCAATACATTATTAAAGCCAAACAGCAGTGCTGTACTCAGAGAATCTGAAACAGGAGGTGATCTCTGTCTGATCTGGTGAAACAACACCTGGCACAGGCTGGAGGAAGGTACAGCTACAGAAATGTTCCAGGGCATCAGCAGAAATGATTGCAGTGTTGAAGAGACATGTAGAGAAAAAATTCAATCAGTCCAGAAATTTGGACGGTAGGCAAAACAATCACTAAGGGACACTGAAACTGCCTAGGGGAGCTGGGGACTAACTACCATGGTGCAAGGAAACAGAACTAGAAGTACTGGGAGGAGATAAGGGAAACTGTACTTCAGACAAAAATCAAAAATATGCATTAATGGAGCTGATAGGGTATGAATTTATCTTCATGGAAAACAGAGACAGTGCCTTTGCCTCCAACTGTTGAATCTAGAACAAAAATGTTAAACATACCACTGGGAATAATTGCTATCCTTGTCTGGAAGATTTCTCTAAATTCGATCTTCTGTATTCATTAGAGAATTCTGAAAGAAAGAATAAGCCCACAGACATTGCCCAAAATATGTAAGATAGCTTGGAAACCCTTTCCTTAAAGATCATAAATTATTTCTGAAGGGTCTGTGGGAAATGGTGAGAGTCAAATTGAACCTCATTTCAAGGAAAACTCATTCTAAAGGCAGGCCAATAATTGGATAAATAAAGCATAATCTTATCGAGTCAAGTACGTACTGCTCTGTGGTATGTTCACACCTTATTAACCTTGTAAATTCCACTCTAAATAAAGAGAAGGACCTTAAAGGCTCAGCATGTTATTTCAGTGTGTGGTAGTGCTTTGGAAGAGGATGTGAACAGCAGACTGAACCTTACTGACAGTCTTAAGGTTTTTCAGTTGCAAAATATGTAAGCTGTTGAGAAATAGCATTCAAGCCCATAGTCTGGCATTTAGAAATGCAGTATGGAATCATTTCATCAATCTGATTCTCCCGTGAATATTATGGAATTCATAAATACAACCTTCTTAAAGACCTGAAATTAGGACACCTAAGAAAAAATGCTCATCAGGCATTGAAAAATAATTTTCAGAATATTGTTCCGTGCCATGGTTGTATAAAAAGCCAAGAGCAATTGGATGCATGAAAACAGGAATGGAAATTACACTGTCATGATGTTAGTCCTCTGTAATCTGGATCCAGTTATGATGGCATCTGCTTTAAGCAATGGTATTTGTTACACAGCAACCCCCTAAATCTGGCAGCAAACACCACATCTGCTACTGGGTATTGACAACCATGTTAACAACATGTAAAACAAAAGCCACACTTGAGATAACGAATTTACCAGAACTATTGCACAAGTGATGTTATTGTGAGGTGCAATTTGTGCTGTAGGGTGACATCAGGAGAGCATTTGCAAATGCACCTGGTTAAAGCTGCCAAGACTTCCTCTCAGGAAGGTAACACATGGGGACTGTCCCCAGAAATGCTGTTTCAGAGCTGGAGCTAATCCTTGAAAGCTTCCTGCTGACATGGAGAGGGAGGGGGAAGTCAAAAAATACTGTCAAAGCTGAAGGCAAAGGAAATCATCCAGATTTGGGGGTACTATTTAGGGAATAAGAGATTCCTGTAAAGTTCAAAGTTTTAGTGGTTGGGGTGTTACTTCAGACCTGTATGTGAGAAAGTGTCTTCAAGATAGACGCTGGAGCTGCTTTGGTTTTGATCTTGTCATTAGAAACCTGGTATCTTGCTGAAGTACATGTTTAGGTTTTATCTGCAAATCCATTTATATTGTGATTAGGCTGATGTTAAGACAATAAACCTGTGATTTAGGATGCAGCAGAAATGCAGCCCTACAGGAGTAACTCCAATGGATTCCACTCCTTAAGCAATTCCAGGACTTGGGTGTGGCCAGGTGCCTCCTGCCCAGTACAGCAGCTCCTGGGGAATGGGTGCTGGTGGCTGCTGGCTTTGGAAGGAATTCCTTTGCTAGCCAGGGCCTGGGGCCTTTTTCCCTTGGAGGATGGAGACAAGATGCCTTGCAGCTCTCAACCAGCCCTTGTGTGCCAGCTTATCACAGCCTTTGCAAATATGTATCTTTAGTGGAAAATATTTGTGCTATTCACAGTGGCAAGAACAACTGAACTTTCAGGAGGCTTTGTTATTTTTATTTCTGAGGTTGCCCAGCAAGATTAGAAATAATTAACTAGAAGGCAAACTTGTGTCTACTGCAAACCAAAGAAGAAGAATTGCATAGAACTAAGTTTCTTTACCTGCATTGGGATATGGTTAGAAGATAAACAGCACAGAGCAAATATCCATTCAACCTGCACAAGTGACAGTGGAGATTCTGGACAAAAAAAGAGAGGAGCCTCAAGCAAACAAACAATCAGATCATGTTTGGTGACTAAACCATGGTGCAAAATCTTTGTGTGATCAAAGGACACTGAAAATGAGCCAGAGTTTAGCTCTCAAGCTGCAGTAGAAAGTGGTTAGGGAAAATACAAAGAGAATTTAAGCAAACTCTTCTGGGTTTGAAGGTATAGTTCAAGTGTTTACCAGGGATCAGTTCAAACAGATTTACCTGACCTGAATGGCTTTGGTGGTGTTAGCAATATTTCAGTTCTGGGGCTGAGATTTAAAAACAGCTGGGTATTTTTTTGTGCATAATTTATGGGCAATTGTTAGTTTCACAAATATATAGACAAAACAAACATTAAAATGGCATTGTTTGCTTTGTACAAGGAGGAGGAGCATTCCTTCAACATGCCAACGTCCCAAACATCCTGATGAATAGAATATAAACCCAGAATATTTATGAAAATCAGTTATGGAACAGAAAGCAGGAGACAACAATTCCTTTGATGATTTATCACAATGACATTTATTCTTCTACAGCAAATGACTGAGGAAAATAAAATTATGTCATCTGGTATGTGTCAAGGCCCCAGAGTGAGAGCTGCTAAATGGTCCATTACTGACCTGCTGGTTTCTGATTACTTTTGAGAACAGGCATGTTTTGTGCTTCACTTAGCTGCTGGTTTATCCATGAAGTAAATTATCTGGAAGGAATGTTTTTGTATTGTTATTTTTATAATGAGAAGACATGAGAAGGAAAACAGTTGTTTCAGATAAACATTGCTGTAGAGTTTTTTCCTGTGTTCTCTTTATCTGATTACCAGCCCTTGAAATTTGGATCTAACCCCTCACTCTTCAGGGCTGAAACTTCTTTGCAGCTTGAGAATTTTAAGAGTCTGCATCAAAAATGCAGTACAAAGAATCCATACTGCAGGATTAGAGCCTAAATGCAAAATTACTACCAGCATCCTCCCATCTTATCCCCCCAGCTCAGAAAACAGGCTCACTGATGCAATTGTCCTGGGAAAACACAGATTTATTTCCCTTAGTAGACGTTCCAGCAAAAGGAAGAACCTCTGTAGTATTTATAAGAAAAAAATAATACATTTTTTAGAGAGCTGCAAACCTGTATTCTCATTTAATAGCTTAATCCCACTAAAATGAGTAACTCACAGTGCTTGGGAGAATTCCCCTTTTTCCAGCACTGCCTTATTCCAAAGCAATCCAGCCCCCTCTCTGATAGATGGGACTGTCATTTCCACTTGTGCACGCTACTTTTCACTTCATTTCTTCTTCAATAAGCAGGTTACTGTTCCCATGTATCAAACAAAGAGATCCTGAGGGAAGGCAAAGCCAGTGTTAAGAATTTTATAGCAGTTGGAGGCAACTTGTTACTCATCATTTCATCTCCAGGTTATTGTATACAATACAAACAGTGGTTTTCTTCCTTGCCTTGTTTATGAGAGTTTTGCTCCCTTGTTTATTTTTAAGCCCTGTTTTTGCATTGTTCTTTTCCTTTCCACTCAACAGCACTCTTGTTTGCTGTTTGCCACCTTCCTGTGCTTATCTTGCTTTCCAAATTCTCCTCCCTTTCACTGAGTCACATCTTCCAAATGCCATCACCCTGCCCAGCCCTTTCCGTCTATTCTCTTCCAGCCCTGTCACCCTGATTGATGCTGGTTTGTGCCTGGGTGACCTGATCACACAGCAGCTCTGTCTGCAGCAATCTGAGGGGAGTCAATAACTCCCCATTGTCCATTTTCCAAAAAAAACCCATTGAATATTCCACCTTCCATCACCCCACAATCCCACATCCCCTTTGTTGCTTACAACAAAGTTGGGACTCCTCTTTCCCAGGTTCTTGTTCTTCAATAAAGAAATGCTGTTGTTACTTCCTGAGTAGCAAAACAGTGCCCAAAAACTTTGAATTTAAAGGATGTGATATATGGGAGTTCCCCTATGGAAAAGATTTCATTTGCTTGAACACTCTCACCTCATTGTAGCAGTCACTTTGTTCTTTGTCTTTAGGCTCTGTGGAGATGACTCTCTAAAAATCCAGTTCCACCTGTGTTGTCAAAATAATGCATATGTGACCATATAAAAAAAATCATCAGTCTGAGAAGTGGTGGAAGATGAGAGAGAACATTTGCATGAAATGTCTGCCTTGCTGGGCTTTTATGTTAAGACTTAGGGAAATATGATTCTGCTGCTTAAAAAAAAAAAAAGTGGGATTAATTTTTACTGTGCAGAAATAACTGCCAAGGATTGTGGATTAACATTCACAAGGAACAGGAGAGGTGAAGAGCAAGGATGAGGTCTCTAGCAGGTCTTTGAACATTCTGCAGGCAGAATCCACATGGAAAATGAAACCAGCTGCAACAGCACTGATGAACTGGAATTGCTCACACAAAGCAGGTTCCAGAAGGTGAGGAAGCCTCTCAGAGACCAACAGATTTGCTAACAACTGCAGTAATTCCCACAGCCACCTCAGGTGCAATTGCTACACCAAGGTGAATTTGAGAGCCCTCTGCCTTCAATGATTGTCACACCCTGCATGTGTTTGACTGTCTCTTTAAGACTTTGCCAAGTGTTTTGGCACACTTGGGTTCTACCCTGTTCTTGTAAGTGTTGCTTATTGCTATGGCAACGCTAATCAATCATGGTGCTAAAAATAGGCCTTGCGTTTTTCAAGAGGTTATATGTAGGGAATTGCAAACACAACTGGGGGCTGTGCTTTCCATATGCTGCTTTCATTACCTTCATTCTAACATGGAAATGCCCCTGCTCATGCTGGTAATTACTGGTTCACTCTCCTCTTATTGCACTGGTGCTCTCTTGAGCCTTAAACCTCTCCTGGTTCTTCCAAAATTGAGGTGCCAAATATAGAAAGTTTAGGAGAACAAACAAAAATCCCCAAATGTTCCCCTTATTTGTTTCTGAGTGTCACAGGTGTGCTGGGGTATAAAAATTTTTAAAGGCGTTTATAAGACATCTAAAAAATCTGGAGGTGACAATACCTGGAGATGCCTCCTTTGAGAGCTTTTCACAAAGACACCTTATCATTGAAGACACTGTGACTGAAGATTTTGAATTATTCTGTAGAACTTAGGTTTAATTTCAAGTTAAAGATTGAATTTGCCACTATTTCATTCCCGAGAGGATCCTTGCAAACTGTAGAGGCAGTGAAATGGAGAGCTGGAAACAGTGCCCTGTGCACTCCTGTGTGTGCTTGGGATCGATCGCCTCCAGGTCAGTGCTGGAGGAACACGGGCCCCAGAGGAGGCAGAGCAGAAAGGGAGTGGTGCTCAGAAGAAAATAAGAATCTGCTAAAAGGTTTATTACCTACTATTCACTCCCCAGTTTGTTTCTGACTGTTGCATAACAATTTTAATCCCCAGTTAAGTAAATACGCCGCCACTTGAGGGGAAAAACCCAACTTTTTGCATGATGAATAATAGTCTTTTGAATGATGCATAAACAGTTTTCTGGTTCTGCCAGAGCCCTCTGCCAATTAGTCAGAGTGCAGCTGATGAATCATGAGACACATTCTGTGAAATGTTCAAAAATTTGGACCCTGCTAAGTGTTCCTGTAAGGCAGCGAGACCCCCCACAGCTGCTGGAGCAGTGGTTGCCAGCCAGTTGAGTTTCTGAGAGAGATTTTTGCGGTGGAGGACTTCTGGTGAATTTGAATTTTCATTTGGGGTAAACCCATGTTGCCATTTATAATCTCAAATGAGGTTGTTACAGTTCTCTCCTTCATACTGAACACACAGGGAGGCTGCCTGTGGGTGGCTTTACAGAAAGTGGCTCTCTAATGAGGTGGCTTGAGGTAAATGGCACCATTCTTCTATGCTAGTCTAAGGAACCTTGGTCTTTTCTCAATGCTTCTTTTTGAAATACAAGGTAAGATCTCTTGTTTTAATTAGAGTTTAGGGATTCTGGGTCACAGGAATCAACAGGTAGACTCAAGCAATGGCTTGTTGAGCTGCTCCAGGCAGCCCAGTGCAGCCTCACGTTCAGGACATGGAACGGTGACATTTCAGTGTCATGACCTGACTCATTGCTGGCAACCTCCTGACAGTGATTGAAAATAGCAGGCATTTCTTTAATACCAAGGTCAAAGGGAAATCTGACATTTGGTTTTATTCATAATTCCCTCTGAAACTGCAGCTGTCAATGCTGCCGTTCAACAGCATAAAGGGGGTTTTGCCTTCCATGGCACCAGAACCTTATTTTGAGGAATCTGTCTCACTTGTTTTTTCAACAAGGATTGATTCTAGATGTGCTTATTGATAATGAATGTCCTGTGATCAGAAGAAGACTGAACACTGATTTGTTGGGTGATACCCATTGAAGGAGGGATGAATTTGCTGCAGTCTCCAAGCCTTAGATTTCAGCTGTTGCACTACACCTGGCTCCTAAACCCCCTCTTCCCTTACTCACCAGCCCCTCCCTTGAGGAACTCTCTGAATGTTTTCAAGCCTGGACTTGGACCAGCAGCAGTGTGAGCACTGAGGTGTCCAAACACCCTCATTGTATAACCTGGATGCACAGCCCATGAAGGAGTCATTTGCCACAGGGGATCAGTGATGCATCACACAAGGAACTGGCAGTAAATGCAGGGAAAGCCTTGGTGACTAATAGGAAAGATGCTGAACTGGTGTCATTCAGAGCTGGTTAGACAGCTGTTCTAGCTGCCTGTCTGAAAACTTGCTTTGAAAGAAGAACTGTGAAATGATAAATAAAATATATTTGAAATATTTATTATCATGGGATTATGTTGCCTAGTATTAAAAATTCTAGTCTTCATAAGCCAACTAAGCTAAGCAATCCTCAGAAAAATAAATTTATTTCCATGTAAACACAGAATACTAATCTTTAACAGGAAAACATTGGTGTATTCTTCTTTTTTCTTTTTTTTTTTTAATATTTATTTGGATTTAGTAAAAAGGAATTTTCACATGGGTTCGTAATCCATGAATTCCATATTAATTTCATTAATAGGAAATTATGCTAAAATTCATTTCTCACCGAAAATCAAGAGCAAGCCCTCACATCTGAAAGCATTGATGTCTGTTTGGTCAGGACCTGCATCTGGTGAAGTGTCCTTGGGTTTTTCTATATGGGGATAGACTGGTCTATAATGAGGGATATCCAGTTGCTCTTATGATCTCAGTGAATTGAATTTCTAACAAGACATTCAGGACATTCATACTCTTGGGCATAGTGAGCATGAAAACCATTGCATCTAATTATTCCAGACTGCTTATACTGATTTATTTATATCTTCATTATAATTTTCAACTTTTACATAGAATCTCTGGATCCCTCCAGAATCATCAAACCTTTCAGGTTTACATTCTGGGAACATTTACTCCTTTTCTTGAAGTATTCTGAAAAATAAGAAAGGTGATACCAAATGGGATGTACTGAATGTGTCAGCTGATGAAGCAAGGCATATTTCTTGTGTTAAACTTACTTTTCTTTTGTTGCAGTGTTCCTTTTTGCCTAAATTCTCCATTCATATAGAGACAAAATACGAGGACAACAAAGGAAGCAATGACAGTGTAAGTATGGCACCTTGTGCAGAAGTTGATTGAATCCTCTTTGTTAACCACAGTCTGTCTGGGGCCTGGAGCTCTCTCAGTTGGGGAAAAAGGCCCCATCAGACCTGTGCCTTTGCCCCTCCCTGGGTGCCCTGCTCCAGAGCAGCTGCAGAGGAGTTACCTCTGAAGTACCAGGAGAGGAAAGATCTGTGTGCTTACCTTCCTTTCTGCCTCTTCTATTCTATTTGTTCCTTCTCTAAACACAGCATCATTTACATCTGTGAATTTAGTTGTGGTGAACATTTATGGAAAGTAAGAAAAGAAGACTGGGGTTTTTTTGTGTGCTTGTATTCCACTTTCTGTGTTCCACATTATTATCTCTGAATAAAGGGGGTTGAATTCCAAGGAGGTGTCAGGAAGAACAAACAGGAAACTAAACAATGGTCAAAGATGAGAGATCTCAGAAAGCAGCTTGGGGAACAATGGCTGTGCACTTAGGTGATGCTTTTGGCAGTCACTTACCTAAAGTAAAAAATTTTCAGGGTTAGAGATGAGAAGGACAATTAACTATGTAAAATCCTCTGTAGAGGAAGGGTGGGAATGAGCTGCCAGCAGCTGCTGATCAGAGAGGCTCAGGAGCAGAAGGCAGGAGGTCAATCAGACTTTGCTGTGCAGAGAGCAAAGCAGAGTCTGCTTTTTCCTTGCAAAAAAAATAAGAATAACTTTCACTAAAGCCCAGCATGTAAAGATTGAACCCTTGGGTTCATACACAAATAAGTTTCTTCCTGTTTCATTTTGGTATGCATTGGTTGCAGACTTATGGGAAGAAGTTTCTTGTAGGCATGAAACAAAGTTTAAATGTCTGGAAATTTGAGCTGTAAAACAGAGACCCAGTCATGTGTGGTTTGAACTCATTCTTGAAAAGGAAAAGGGCAATCAAGCAGATTTTAAGGGGTCTGAGCACAACCTTCCAGTGTTTTGGGGTGTCCCTCCAGCAGCCCTGGTAAGAGGAAGGTGTTCTGTTCTCCAGGTGGGAGGCACATTTCCCTCAGCCCCCTGGGGCTGCCTGTTCATGAGGCTGACAGCTGTTGCACTGCTTATGGCAGAATAATTACATGTACAAGAACAAGGTGGGATTTGGAATAATGCTTTTGGCATGCAGACACTTTCCCACTGGGAACATGACAGGGATCATCTATTAACCACCAGATACCAACCACTCACAGTGGCTGCCTCTCTAAGCCAGATCAGTGAGTGAGTTAAAAAGAAGGGTATTACATTACCAGCTAGATGAACATTGTGTAATTTATGCACTTTTTAATGTTCACTTCTGTTTTTTGGCAGCACTTTAATTCAGAGCAAGCCCACACCTTAGGTTTTGGGGGGGTGCAGACTAATTTTCTGGTGCATTATAATGTCAGCAGTGAGCAGACATGATCTGGGCTGCTGTCTGACAGAGGAAGAACTGCAGCTATTTAAGCAGAGTGAATTCTTTCTGTGTGTCAGCTTGTGGCTAAAATACTGTGAATCAAGCCCTGAACAGTATCCAGCCAGGGAATTCAGATGAAAGTGGCACAGAGGTGGGATACTCCAGTGATGTAAATCAAAGAAACTCTATTCTGCTTGAATCCAGCTCTTCCAATGTCATTTTTACCAGATTGCCAGTGGGCTAATATCATATTACCTTTCTATTGCAGCACCTGAGTCACAGACTAAGCCAGTGTTTGCCTAGATTAAGAGATTTCACTGACCCCTGCTTGAACTGAGGAGGAGAAAGAGCAGCTGAATTAGGGGGTTGCACTCCAGCCCTAATTTCTCTGATTTTCGAATTCTGAGAGCTGTGCTGTTCCCTGGTGGGAGCACAGTAAACCAATGGAAGATCTACATTTTTGTGCTCCCATGACTTTTATCTGGGACCACAGACATGACTGGTACAGCACTGAAATGCTGGAAGGTTCCTAAATATGGAGAGGCTTCTGTTAATCCAAACACCTTGGAACTAGGAGCAGGAGTCATCCTCATTTCCACTGCTCAATGGACAGGCTTATACCTCCCTTAAGAACTTGCAAAGTGCATTTCTCCTTTGTGTCAGCCAAGTTTAGATTAAATTTCACTGTTTGTCTGGGTAGAAAACAGCAGGAAGCATAGCACCCATTCCTATAGATTTCCATAGATACCCTGGATTTTCCTTCATTGCAACTATCAGCCTCGTCTGATGAAGAAATAATGAATCCAAAAAAACTTCTGTAAATTTTGCAGTTGTAATGCAAAATAGACTGGATGAATATTAATGTTACAGTAATGAGGGCAATAATACGAATCTGATTTTAACTCAGCTATTTCTCAATGTATTTTTTTAGATCATAGAGATTTTTTTAAATCTTTGCACTCTGATCTATTCTTCATTTCCATACTGTCTGATAAAGTAGATATTGATTGTGAAAAGCAATACTTGGACATAAGGATACTAAAACTAATTCCACTGATCCATGGAAGAAAGCAATATAAATGGTCTTGGGTTCCTGTCATTTGGTAGGCTGGGATGTTATTAGAATTATTTCATTTAACATGTTGTGTTGTCTGGTATAATTCTACCTAATTATTGCAATATATCTCGATGCAAAGTTCCTGCTGATTTTTCTTCCCATTTGGCATGACAGAAGACAGTAGTAATACCAGTGAAAGATGATATCTGCTCTGGAATCCAATTTTTCAATGTCTTAGAATTCATTTTAAGCTATTTTAAATGTGTTAAAGCATTCTTGTTCCAATCTGTTAAAGTTTGCAGTTGATTTGCACAAATATAAATACTGACAGAAAGAACAATGGCCAATAAATGTCTTTATTTAGGCAACCTTGTGTAGTAGTGCAGAACCATAAATCCACTGAGCTGTGATTTCAGTGCTCAGAGCAGCTGATTTTAATGTATCCCATGTAGTTGTTCCATGGCAACTCTATTCTTAGAAAAACAGAGCCAGAGTTGGATGAGCATGTGAGTACATCAAATATTGTCCCTGCTACCTTGTAGCTTTACAGCTTCATTAACACTGCCAGAAACTGGACCAGTGAGTCAGGCCAGTCACTGTTTCCTCTTGCAGATCTTTTAAATTAAAAGTCGACTTCTTAAAGAGAAATATTATTTTGATTTTACTTTTATTTTACATTACAAAACGGAGTTTTTAAAAATTAGAATGTTTTGTGAGATGGAAATGACATGGGAGGTGGCATCTGTAGAGTTCATGAAAATATTGCCTCTCTTTGTGCCCTGAGCTGCTGCCTTTGAGCAGTGCTGGGCAGGGGAAGTGCAGCCAAGAGCCTCAGTGGCACAGAGCAGTGCAAAAGGGCACAGTAATCACATCCTTCTCCCAAAGCAAAATTTGCACTTTGGGAATTTGAATATAGATAGATAAAGTCCGTATTCTGAATATTTAAAACATAAGGAACATCCTTACAGAGAGAATTCTTACAGGTATCCACTGAATGAAATGGTAGAAATGCAGGCAGGAGGGTGGGAGTTACTGCTTGTGTGTCAATAAATTGGGTGTGTGCTTTCCATGAGAACACTTCCTTAAGCTCTTTTTTATTTGAGCAGGTATTTTATTTCAACAGTCCATTGACTGCTCAGTATTTGTGTCACAAAGGACTAATTTAGTGGAGCTGTCATCTCCCTCTCACTGTTTCAGTGTGCACCACAGACACAGGTTTTGGTTTTTTCCTTTTTGTGGGGAATGCCCCAACTGTGCATTGCAGTCAGCTCTGTTGGTTACAGGCCACACCATATGGCTGCAGTGGCTGCTGCAATCAGTGCCAGCCGTGTCACCCATGGCACAGCCACACTGTCCCTGCCTGTCCCCCTCTGCCCCTGGGGAAAGGTCTGCAAGGCAGCTGAAGGTACAGCAAAGGCAGCCTGGGGACAGACACTGCCCCAGCAAATCACAGAGACATTCCATTGTCCTATTTGTTGCACAAGGATCATTATGTTTGACTGATTTCTGTTAATTTGTTTTGTTTTGGTTTTTAGTCACAGAATTAATTGCTGCTGATATTTGGGCAGTGATTTTTTGCCATCTGATGGTGTCTGGGGAAAGCAAAAAAAAAAAGTACAGCTTGTCAAATAATTCAAAGGTTGTCAATAATGAAAATTCACTGTATGTAAAATTTCCTGTGCCTTGCTCTTTGTAGCATAACATTTTTCTCTGGAAAACTCAGTGTCTGGATCTTGATTATGAAACTAAAGTAAAATAAATTTTAGATATGACAGCTAAAAAGAAAATCCATTTCTACTTTGGTTGAGTTTAGGGTGGTTTTTCCTCTATTTTTGTCTCCTATCTTAGTAATGTGGAACTAGGTTGTAACAAACTTGAATATAGCACATGGAAATTAAATGTAAATTCACTATTTAAGGCAACTGCCATGAAACACTGATTTCAGCTGAAAAGGATTCAGCTGTGCCCTGGTTTAACCTGCACCACAGGATCTCAGCCTGGAAACTGTCAAAAGGATTGCTGGGCATCACTCAAAATATGGCAAAGTCAAAGCAAGGGACACTTTGAGGGATTTTATTTGCACCTGGACTTTTCCTGTATGATGGTACTGAGTATCCCATAATTTGCAATGAAAAAATCACGATTTTATGATGCTTTTACCCGCTCTAAGAAGTCTGAAAAGATAAAGGCAAACAAGTGGAAAGGTTGGTCTGAAATTCCTCCTGAGGGAAGAGCTCTCTTTGTTGAACTGCAGATCCTGTGTCCCAAGCACATATGGCTATCACAGAACATATGACAAGGCCCACACTGACAGAGTGTGAACAAGTGATATGGTTGTGCCTCTACTTTTTCATTTTTCTAAATGAACTACTGAAGTTAGTCAGGAAATCTGGCACTTGAACTGGATGTGACTGGAAAAACGAATCCCAGTAAATATTATAGATAGTCTATTGAGGTTTTGGAAGCACAGCTACTTTGACATAATTACATAAAAATCCAGTTCTCTGTCCAGAAAGCACAAATCTTAATGAGATATTTTATAAGAGATGGAATAATAGGGGAGTCATGACATGGAGATCAAAAGGAGCAGGGAGCAAAGCTGCAGATAAATCTATAACTGCCTCTCCCACTCTGTGGCACACAGGGATATTCCCAGCCAGTTCAGGGAGCCAAATTTTCTCTTCTCAAAGACAGATTCAATCTTTTTCCATAGAAAAATTGCTCCCAATTATGTGTGTCCACATAAATAGTTTTATCCCACGAACGGGTTTGAAGTTGGTCAATTCCTGTAATCTCTGCCCAAATAAATCTCAAAAGGAAATTAGGGAATTTGGAAGGAGCTGAGGCTGGAGCAGGACTTACTGAAAAGTTACACACTGAATAAAGTCCATGGGTCAAGTTCTGAGTTCTGAGGAGTTTTCCTTCAGAAAAGTGGAGCAGGTGACACAACCTGCTCAAGGTGTGCAGCAACACCCTGAGGAGCAGCCAGTGGTTCTGGCCATGGCAATCTGCAGAGCTGAGAATTTCAAGGTGGAGAGTATATTTTGTGCATTTTTCTAATGGAAGAAAAGGATTTTTCTTGCAGTCCTCACCACAATTACAGCCCTGCCATGAATTAGCTGTCTCTTTAGAGCCTTCTGACCACAAACTCCTTCTGTTTAGGCTGGGAAAAAAAGCATTTTGTAGTAATGACAGAGCCAAACACCTTTCCAGCTGGTAATCCCTGGGATGGTTCCTTTGCTCTTGAAGATGGAAAACAAACATCACAAGAGAGAATCATGTATTATGAAACAAAGCCAAGCCAGAGGCACAGATGTGACTCTTGGAGTCCTGGTGGTGCAGATGAGTGAGGAGTTTGCCAGTGTGGATGGAATAAATGCATACAGCAGAAATTGGCTTGATGCTGTTTATATCCAATCCAGGTCAGCTGTGGAGATTGGCCATAAAGTTATATTTCAGATTAACTACATCTGAATAAAACTGCAGCCAGCAACTTATCCTAAACATAGAAAAAAATAAACAAATAGGAAAAAATGCTTGTAGAAAAGAGGATATTAAATTTCCCATCATATCCTAACCTGACTTTCTGTTCTGACTGTGGCTACCAGGAGAAGGGAAGTTGCCAGCAAAGCATGTGCCAGGACATGTCCTTGTAGGGCAGGAGGGAGACAAAGGAATGAGATTTAAGTTCACCAGTCCTTACATTTCTGCAATATCCTGGATGAGCTGTTATTCCTGAGGTTCTGGAATCACCTGCCTGGGGGGGGGTTGTGGACTTTCCTTTTGGTTTCTAGTTGGTTCATTGGTTGGGTTTGAGGTTGGTTGGTTGGTTGGTTGGTTGGTTGGTTGGTTGGTTGGTTGAGGGTCTTTTTTTAGTGGTTGTGAGTTTTTTGTTTTTGTTTTTGTTTTTGTTTTTGTTTTTGTTTTTGTTTTTGTTTTTTGTTGTTGTTGTTTTTGTTGTTGTTTTTTTGGTTTGGGTTCTTTTTGTTTCGTTGGGTTTTTTTGGCTTTTTTGAGTTTTCACCAGAAGAAACCACTGACAGTCATAAAGACCCAGTTGAAACCTTTCTCCCACTTTCTGTCATTTTGTGGATGATGTAAATCATGCTGAGTTTTCATTCCTCTTAGGAAAGGGAAGTATATAAATGTTTGTTGTAAAAAGCTGTCACGTTACTCCCTCCAAAATAAAACCAAAACCCATGGCAAAAAGGCCACTTCAGTCTGAATGTTGCTCTTTGTTTTCCATTTGGTTGTGTATTTTAATCTCAATTAATTACTTGGCTTCCAAATGTAAAGCCTGTCCAGTTCTTTCCAATAAAATATTTAATATTCTGTCTTCTACATCATCTTCTTAAGGATACAGATTGTTCTCACCATTCAGTTTCTGCACATTTGCAAATACAGTTACACAGATTGGGAGCCTTATGCTTCTTTTTGTGGCCTTTAATCTTTTCCTTTAAAACTTTTAAGTTTCTTTAGTGTCTTTGATCCCAGCCACAATAAACCCATCCTCCCTACAGGGTTTCAGGCAATCCAAGATTCTGTGGCTAAGAGAGGCATTAAGAGAATTAGAGCTAAGAAAGAAATCAGTCTTGTTCTCTAATGACTTCTTATTTTCAACTGCTGATCAAATGAGAAGATTAAATCTCTAGCTGCAAATCTTGTGAGGACAATCTGAGAAAGGGAGAAGCATAAATGATTAGACAACAAGTTCTGCTGGCAAAGGGAAGTAAGAATGTCATTCAGCAAACTTCTGGAACAAAGGAAATGGCCACAGACAGCTCGGCAGCAAATAAGGCATCGTTGAAATGGTTGAAAAATTCCTCCTGGTTCTGACAGATTGGCAAAGGCATCTGTCATCCCCACCTCCATCACAGCATTTTAAAGAGAGAAAAGGAATTTAGAACTATTTTCATATGAGGTGAAATATGTGGATCAAGTCTGGGACAGAGCAGGGCACATTTCTTTGGATAAGATACTGGGTAATAATCTCCATTTAGGCCGCTGCAAATGGGCAGAGATTTGCATGTGCTTGAATTTATGGGGCTTGTGCCTAAACCATGGACAGATTCAAAGCCTCAGCTGATCTGCTAATGTCCACTTAAGTCCCATTTCCATTATTTTAGAGAGATTATGGTGAAATGCATCTTATTCCAGAAATAGTTCAACTGATTTCATCAGGGCCTGCTCTGTATTTCTGAATTTGTTTAGGAAAAAGCAAGCAAGGGAGCTTATAAAAGGTGACCTATATTATATATATAAACACAGAAGTGATTTACATCAATGTACCCAATTCAGAGAAGGAGCACTACAGGAGAAGGGCTTTCCTTCAAAGTTCCACATTGTTCAAATAATTAACATAATTTTTTTCAAAACAGCAATTGGAGAAGGATAATATTACAAATAAAACCAGGATGGAGTTTCTCAGTTCTTCAGCAGTTTCAGATGTGTGAACATGTTACATCCAGCTCAGTGAGCATTCAGTGCTGCCTGTTTTATTCACTACCAAGATAAGTTAAAATTGTAGAGTCAAACTTCAGCTTTTCCTGTATTTGAAAGACAATTTCCTGAGCAATTTTCTTCCTACCAGCTGGTTCCTGTGTTCCCTGGAGTCCATTGCTCTTTTTGAATGCTTTAAATGGGCAGCCCCAATGCTTTCAGAAATAATGAAGTAGCATTTCTGCTACTAAAGAGTTGCTGGCATTTTGTATTTTTAACTGTTCCTCTAGAATTTAATTAAATCAAGAGAGCATTCAGTGCATTTATTTAAAAAAAAAAAAAAAAGAAAACAAGAATATTTTTGCTTCCTGGAAATATCAGCTATAAAACATTGTGCCCTGAAGGAAAAAGCACATTGTGAGCTTATTACTGATCCTGACAGTGGATGCACAACTTCCCTGAATTTCATGGCACTAATTCATGGTAGGCTTTTAGCTCAGCGCTGTTTCCAAGTCTCAGAATCATGAGGAAAATGTATTGCAGACACAGTGTAAGTCACATGGGTCACTGAGATGCCTAAATAATTAAATTATGGACACAGGCACAGAAGGATGCTGTGCTGCAGCTGCAAATGACCTGGATTTTCAAAATATCTCCATCGTTCACCTTGCACAGAGCAGGAGGCTTGCTGCTCCAAACAAGGTCCTAAAGGACTGAAATGTGTGTGCATGGATGGGCTGGGGAAGCTTGCAGCTCCCACTGGGGCAGCTCAGCCACAATTTTGATTTTCACTGTAACAACAACTCTGACTGCTCCCAGCAAACACCTGCACATTGCTGTAGCCCTTAGAGGGGGAAAACCCCCAAGTCCAGAGAGTTGGGTTTTTTACACAGTGACAGACTCTAGTGCAAAGACTGGAGAATACACTAAAAACAATCCAAATTGTTGACCTTACTGTTTTTAAGCAAAGTCTCCATTCTAAAAAAATCCGAGGAAGAGCAGCAGTGGGAGCAGAAAGTGCTGAACACGATGTGAGCAGTAGGGTGGGGAATGTGTTCCTGCAAAAACTCGAGTATTTTACACAAAGCTGTTCAGGCACAAGCCTAAAATACATTCTGTTGCACAAGTCATTGAAACTGCTTGTAACACTTATTCCAGGTGGATTTTGTGTGGGTGTTGTTCTCTAACAGCCTTGAATTTCTCTAACTTGCAGATTTTTGACAAAGAAGCTAAAGATCTGGAGCGAGAAGTTTGCTTTATTGATATTGCCAGCGATGAGATTCCCGAGCGCTATTACAAGGAATCAGAGGTAAGAGGCAACTTGGCTGTGGACATAGAAATCAAAACCATTTTATTTTTGTTTAAAATCTTGCTGGTCAGTAATATCTCAAGAGCCTTTGGTAGAGGGGAGGCAGCCAGCAGCCTCTGTGTCCAGATGGCCCCAATGCTTTCTTTTGCAGATGATTCTTTGAAATGCTTTCCTACCCTTATCAGAACACACCCTGTACCAGACCTTTAATATTCAGCTGGATTAGTCCAAACCAGAAAAAGCCTTTCCTTTGCATTATGGAGCTCAGTGAGGAGTTTGCAGATCTGAGCACTTTGAAACACCCCTGCTGTCCTTACTTGCATGCCACCCTGAGCAGTGAGCCCTGCAAAGTGTCCAAGCCCTGCAAAGGACAGATGTGCTGCAGTGACAAGGGGCTGATGCACAATTGCTTGAAGGGAACAATGTCACAAGACCAAGAGGGACTGGAGCACACTGCAGACTGCAGCAGATCTGCCAAAAAGCATCAATGGCAGCAGGCAGAGTCACTCAGAAAATTCCCTGGGAAATTGCTCCCATGTATATTTGATGGAGCACATCTCTGAAGAGCGTGCTTCTTCTAGGTCAATGCAATTCACTGCTTGAAATCAGCAGCCACTATGCAAATGAAGATGAGGTCTCAATGTTTTAATCTCAGAGTTGATAAATGATGGTTCACAACAAGCAGCTAGAGAGGAATGATCAGATCTATGCTCGCATTTAATTTTGGAGATATGATTTGCCTCTGGAGCCAAGTCTATATTCATAGCTGGCAGTGAGTATGGCAGCTGTTTAACTATCTAAAACGAGACTACATAATCATTTTTAGGATAGAAAGTGAGGACTTGCCAAGGAATATATTTCTATACTATAGGAGACATGATTTTCAGACTAAAAATATCAAGTACTTTTTATCTTCCATTTATATAGATCCTATTTTGAATGTTATGTACGGGTCATAAACCAAAACTGCGCCTACAGTAGAATGAAAAGTAATTTTATTACTTTCTTTAGATAATGAAATCTATCTGTTTAGTACCAAAAATTATATAACACCTCATGAAACAGCTTATTGGTCCCATCATCTTATCTGAGCTCCACGGCTTCTGGTTCCATTTAGGAATGAGCTGCTAATGGATCAGGTCAGCATTTGACTGTACTTTAAAGAAATCCTATGAGATTTTTCATCTCATTCTCTGCACTTCAAAAATTGTAAACACAAAGGTGGCAACCAGTTTTGCAACTTTCCTGCTCATTTTTAATAGCCAACCATTAAAGCATAATTTCCCTGTGATTAATCTCCTGATACAGAAAAACAGGCTCATCTTAAAAGAGAAAAGCATTTCAGAGTCTTTGTGTTGCTGTTTCAAAGTCAAATCTAAAAACCAGATTCCAAGCAAAATGGAATTTTATATGGGTTTAGACAACAAAAATAGCCCAGCATCTGTTGTTTTTTTCTGTACTGATGGATGATTTTTCTGTTGACTACCAAATTCTGTTTCATAATTCATACAGAGCAGTAAGAACACCTTTAGTATTTAACTGTGTACATGCTGTAATTGATAGTGAATTAGTAATAATTGAAAATAGTGGATCTTCCAAAGTTTACAAACTGGGGGGTTTTTATGCTACCATATGACAAACATGAAGCCAAATTCCCATTTCTGATGAGGCATCCTTCATAATTTAGAGACTATAAAAAGATTTTTTATGTTTGTAAACGTAATTTCCGTCTGTTTTCAATCAGAACAGTAATTCTATGCAAATGAGAAAGGGTTTGTGTTTCCCAAATAGCAGCTTCAGATAAACCAGTTTGTGTAAGCTTTTGAAAGGTATTTTAGTTGCACTAATAACAACAATTTGGCTGCTTTTAAACCATATAATCTGAACTGATACGAAGTTTAAAGATTAAAAGTGAAGTGCAATTCTCAGGATTTAACAATTAGATCCCACAGGATAAATGTCCTGACTCCCATCCAGAAAGACCAATGAGAACAATTTTAACTTGAGGCATGCCAGTAATCTCTTCATTTCAGTGGCTCTTTCACAGGCTTAAAATACAGCAAGTTCTTTTTCAGGGTCAGCGTGTTTGGCAGCTTCTAGAAATGAGCTTTAGTTTTCTTTACACCCTGACGAAAGCTCATTCCTCTTCAATTAAAAATATACTTGAGATTTAACAGCAAATGTCATTATTTAGCTGTAATACTGCTTACCAGGGAGTGGCTTAAATAATTTAAAGCCTTCACACACTACTTTCTCTGCTTGCCCTGTGCTGGGACTTAGGAGCTTGATGGTAGAAGGGCAAAGCCACTGTGTCCTCCCACCTATGATCTAAAAAGTAGTTTTTCAGTTGTCCTGACATGAATCTTAAAAACAGATTCCATTTTCATTTCCATAATAGTGATTCACACATAAAAAGACAAAATATATAAATAATCCCTGTATGTATAATATTCCATTTGAGCTGAACAGCTCATTCTCACCGGTGCTGAGAGAGGAAATGTGTTCCACAAAAATGTCCTGGCTGAAGGGAAAATGATTGAATTCAACTTTGTGCATATTTGCTTTTCTCTCCTTCTAAATATTAACTAAAACTGAGGAGTGAAGAATCCAGGTATCTGGAGGCTTAAGGAGAGCTGTTGCTTCACTGCAGGACACTTCAAGGGAGCCTCTCCCAGTACCACTGAGGGATCTCTTGAGCAGAACCCTCCAAGTGCTTGGGGTGCCCTTAAGGATGAGGGGCTGGCAGAGTGCACAGGGGACTGGAATCTCCAGGTCAATGGTGAATCAGGAGGCAGATTTGTGAGCTATTACACACACTCACAGAGCCCAGCTCTATCGTGGGGCTGAGCTGATTTCTGCCTTTCTGGAAGGCTGGAGGAGGTGAAACTGCAGCAATTCAGGTATCCTAAAGCAGGTGACCTCCCTTTCCCCTCATGGCCATCTACAAACTCCATTGTGAAGCAGCCACATCTCAAATACAGGGCTTTTTTACAAGTGTGGGTCTAATCCTTCAAGTTTTAAGTTTAAATGTGAGGTTCCAAATGGAGAAAGGTTAATTCTAGACCCCAGCTAACAAGTTGTCCTGTTTGTCTGTGAGGAGCCATGTGTTTTCCCAACTTGGATGTACATAATATTGCAGCAGGTACAGAATTTTGTTTTTCTGTACAGAGAATGTACCAGGCAGGTAAGAGTAGTTGTACATTTTGTGAAGTCATTTCCTTGTGACTTTAGCATCAATGAATATGTATCACCAGCTATATAGACAGATATATTTGTCTGAAATATAGAAAAGAACAAAGCTGAGCTATGCTGAGGAGTGAGGGCCTCCAGTGAATCATTCATGGAATGAAACATTTACCGTGGCTGTGAGCTACTGAGCAAAATGTTCAGTGCAAACATATTCAAGTTCTCAGAATTAACAATGTTTCATTTCCTGTTTATAACAAAGCAATGGAGAGCTGGACAGATGGAATAAACTTTCCAGGCTGCTTCTAAACAGATTCCATGCAGCTGCTGCAGTTTTCTTCTTCCATTGCTGGCTTTTCTCCTTTAGCACAGCTGCTCTGGGACAGGTCCACCTTAGGCCTGTCCAAGTGATTTCAGAGGAACAAAACCTCTGTCACATCACTAAATGATGGCAGCTGAAATAATCCAGCTGCCTCAGCCCCCCAGTAAGTGTGGGCACCATGTCAGCACAGGAGTTCAGTGAAGGATGTGAAAAAGTCTGAACATTTCCTTTTCCTTACTCACTTGGTGTGTGAGTTCACATAAAGGCTGGCTGGATTATCATATTTTAACACCTCAGAACTGTCCCAATATTTACAGTTCTTAAGTATTTAGCTGAATCTTCCAGAAAATACCATTTAGTGGAAATTTTTTTTAAAAGCCCTTAAAAAATGACTCTACATGAATGTCTGTGGTAGCATCTCTACATCAATAAATCTTTCCTGAGCACTGCCTAAAAAAGCTGAAATCTAAAACCTAGCAACTACAGCTGATGCTGAAATGCCAGATGACAGGTATTAAACCCATGATTGGTTCTGAAATTCAAGATAAAACAAAATGGTCTTCAGCATAAAGAGGGAAAAAAATGATTGCACTTCAAAAGCACCATGATATTGCCATAGGAGTCTGAAAAAATGAATGCAGGCATTAAAGAGAAGGAAGGATGTGAGAGGGCAGGGCACAGGGCACAAGCAGGATGCAGGGCACAGGCAGGTGCAGGGCACAGGCAGGTGCAGGGCACAGGCAGGGTGCAGGGCACAGGGCACAGGGCACAGGCAGGATGCAGGGCACAGGCAGGGTGCAGGATGCAGGGCACAGGCAGGGTGCAGGGCACAAGCAGGGTGCAGGGCACAGGCAGGATGCAGAGCACAGGCAGGTGCAGGGCACAGGCAGGGTGCAGGGCACAGGGCACAGGCAGGATGCAGGGCACAAGCAGGATGCAGGGCACAGGATGCAGGGCACAGGCAGGGTGCAGGGCACAGGGCACAAGCAGGGTGCAGGGCACAGGCAGGATGCAGAGCACAGGCAGGTGCAGGGCACAGGCAGGATGCAGGGCACAGGGCACAGGCAGGGTGCAGGGCACAGGCAGGGTGCAGAGCACAGGCAGGGTGCAGGGCACAGGCAGGGTGCAGGGCACAAGCAGGGTGCAGGGCACAGGGCACAGGGCACAGGCAGGGTGCAGGGCACAGGCAGGGTGCAGGGCACAGGCAGGGTGCAGGGCACAAGCAGGATGCAGGGCACAGGGCACAGGCAGGGTGCAGGGCACAGGCAGGGTGCAGGGCACAAGCAGGGTGCACTCTCACCTCTGGCAGCTCCCAGTCAGGCCTGGTGCCATGGCAGAGCTGAGGGCAAGGGTGCCAGGCAGATTTGGAGGTTTTCTGTAAACAACAAATGTGTTTCGTTATTTAACTCTGAGTACAAAGGAACAGGTCAGAATTAATTGTGAAAGGACATTGCAACAACCCAGGGCTGGGTTTGCTTCCTGGAAAGGGCCTTTCCACTCCACGTCTGATGCACGTGACATCCGTGAGGAAAGTTAAGTAAATAAATGCTAAATGATAAATAATAGACTCCATCAATAAACACATTGACTCGAGGTCTAAGTAATAAAACCTGGGAGAGTGCTAGGTTTGAATCCATATCCCACATAGAGAGGCTTTTATTTCATTGTAATTTTACATTTCATTCTCAACCAAGCCCAGCTCATGGGTTATGATGTTTCTGCTCTGTTGGCAGAAGTGCTATTTTTAAATCACTCTGCACCTGGCAATAATGTATTGCAAATACAGAGTAGGTTTTGCTCCTCTAGCAAAAGGATTTGCCAGATGGGCTTTCCTAATAAATTGTGTCTGATAAAAGGACAAGAAGGTTATTTAAACAAAAAGATTTTAGCTATGCCATTACATTTAAAACAGATTGAGGATTTTGCCAGTAGATAAATCAAGGGGAAAATAGTGAATAGACACAGTATTCTTTGGATGATGCCTTCTCTGGGAAGAAAGGTATGGGTGTCTAAAAACAAAAATAAGGAACACACGAAATTAATTATCTAAATAATAACATAAAAGTGGGGTCAGAGCAAAGTTCAGCTTGCACAGCTTCTAGGTACAGGAAGAAAAGCTTCAAGTACGTGTGCCATGAGTGCTGCTGAGAGAAGCAGTGCTGGGTACCAATATAATTTCTGTTTGCTTTTAATGGAAAATTATCAGCCCTGCTTCATTTTTTGTTATAGAAGGACCTTATGTGCCTAATTGCAGAAACAATTCCAGGTTGTGAGTCTAAATTTAGCAATTTGAACTCAGGAGTAAGGCACATAAAAACATTCTTGTCCAAGTTCTCATTAATTTCAGTAGGCTTTGGATCAGGCATTGAAGAGAAGAGATGAGCAGTCCTGGTTCCACCAAAGTCCCTCTGGCATGGCCTGCTGCCCATGGTTGTGGTCAATAGCAGAGGCCTAGGAAAGGTGTAAAAATATAGAGGTGAATGTAGAGATCCTTCCCTTAAAGGCTTCCTTGTATGATGCACAGCACAAGCAATTGCTGAGCCACAATTTGTGTGTTTCTAAAACAGTCAAAATGTTGTCAAACATGTACTTGTTTAGCAGCTGGGTTAAAGCCCAGGGATATTCTTTTCCTTACAAGAGCTCACCTGTGTCAAACGTTGGTGCCCTTTGAGCTGATGGCCCAGGCATGGAATTCTCAAGCTGACTTTGCCCGATGTCACAGTGTGCCTTGCATCCCCCTGCTTGGCTTTTGTGCAGCCTTTGAGTCTCAGCTCCCTGAGCAAGCACTCAGGAAAGTCTTTAACACCTTGATCTTTCATCAGCAGCCTGGGAATCTGTTCCTCTGAGGTCTGGCTTCCATTCATCAGCCTGCAGTTTTATGGTACCAATATGTTAATGCTTCCAGAGAGGCAGGAATTTCCCTAAGAGCTCTTTGATGTGAGTTGCTGAACTGGCTCTTCCCATGGAGCTCTCCAGCCAATTTGTGACTAACCCTCACATCCTTCAAGAAAAAGGAACAGGATTAAGGGATGCAGAGGTGCCATCTCTGGGTGCTGTTGAGGGAATTTGCACCTGGGAGTGATGTAATGGATCAATTGCATTGCAGTTGGTGGGTGATTTGTGGGCCACAAAATTTAGAGTGATTCTCACTGTGTGTGCCCTTGTCTGCTGGCTTAAACTCACCAAACCAAACCAGACCCAGCCCAGAAAACTTGGGAATGAGTAGTGATGCAGGGCAGTTATTCATTATTTCATTTTTAGTTAGAATTTCTTCATATTTGATACCAACTCAAATTGATTACATTAAATCCCTTTGGACTGCATTGAAGTTTCTCTATTACAGTTCTGGTTATCTCTGAAGGATTGTAAACTACAACACCCAGAATTATTAAAGTGTGTATCTGAAATGCTGAATCAAGGGAATGGCTCCATCACACCAGCACTGTGTGTGTGTGTAAGAAATAGCAGACCCTGACTTATAGGAAACTATTTTCCTTTTTAGAGATTCTTATTTCAGTGGAATATTTTGCAAGCATATTTGAAATAATATTTTCTGTAATGATTTCTTTTTTTAAGGAACCTCCAACTAAAATGTTATGTCTTTCTGAATATTATGTTTTCTTCCCTTTTGTTCTTTTTATTGGTGTTATTATTATATTGATTGCTCCAGGCAATGATCAATTATTAAACAGCTCTTTCAAACAGAAAATGTGTAGATGGTTGAGCTTTGCTGGGTGACAAGACTGGCAGCAGCAGTGACCATGAGCTGTGCTGTACAGGGGGTGTTGCTCTGATAAATGATGATGCTGAACTGTTTTTATGGTGATTTAACATTGAAACCTTATTATACTGTGAGCTCAAAGTCTCCCCTTTGCAAAGGCTGTGTCAGCAATAAAAGCAGTGACTTTCACAGGGAGGAGAGACTCTCACCTCATTAGAGCTTTGGAGAGAAGCTTTAATGGCAGAGCTTCAGTTTAGGATAAAACCAGAAGTCAAGAGATAAATAAATGGTAGGAACATGAACACTGGGTGATACCTAAACTCACACTGAATGAAGCAAAATGAAGATCAGAGTAGTTACCAGTATTTTGTGGTTTTTCTCCTGATTGTCATCCATTTCATGCATAATTTAAGCACTAATTAAGTACATGATTAACTACTTTTATAACAAAGGATCTTCCCAGACCTCAGCACTGGGGAAAGAACACAGCTGAGCACTGCTGGTTACTCTTCAGGACAGATTTTAGAAGCTCCACTGTGAATTTTCTGAAATGACATAATTTTCAATTTCTGACAACCAGTGCTTAACCATAAATTATTTCTATTTACAAGATATAATTAGCAGGATTGGACATAAAGGGAAATAGAATTATACCAATATGGAAAATAACACTTTCATGGATAAAACTGTATCTTGTACAGATAAATGTAAACTTTAAAAAGATGAACTAATGCCTTTAATGGTTTTATGAAATCATGTTGTCATTTCAATGTTGTAGTTTCTTTGATTTCCCAGTTCCTGAAAGAGAAACAGAGCTGGGATTACTCAGTGTCTGCTCATGACTTAGTTGTAACCAGAGATGGATAAACTGCAGGAGTTTCCTACTTAGCTTAGGATGAACGAGTGCACTTGAAACTGAAGGTGGCATTGCCAGGGTCAGTGCTGAAGTGTCAAAGCTCCAACTGGACACAATTTCAGGAGACAGGCACAGGTGGAAAGTACAAGCAGTTCACACCAAGGGGCAGTGGAAAAACAGCCTCTGAAGAAGCCACTATTTTTATTTTTCTTTTCCAAAGGCCATAAATAACCCTTGGAGTGCACTGCACTGAATGACTTGCAATAACAGATTTTCTTACAGCAGAAAACGTCCTGGATGATGATTGTCAATGCATCTCCAGGAATATGCTGCCATTGATTCACTGCCAGGCTTGGATTTTAGGATATCCTAGTGCATTTTAAAAGTCAATTTCCTATTACTTTTTCATAAAGTTTATTAGCATGTCTTGTGTCTTATCACAACTTTTACTTAGCAAACTGACAAACACAACTTCTCCTCCTGCATTTCCCTGTATGTTTTCTTTCTTTTGCAGGATCCCAAATACTTCAAGTCACAGAAAACTGGGAGAGGCCAATTGAAAGAAGGCTGGAGAGAGACCCATCAGCCAATTATGTGTTCCTACAAACTTGTGACTGTGAAATTTGAAGTCTGGGGACTTCAAACCAGAGTAGAGCAATTTGTACACAAGGTCAGTGAAACAGGAGCTGTTTCTTATCCTTCACATGAGCAGAACTCGAGCACTCACAGGAATGTGGCTATGGCTGGAGGAGCCTGGGAGCTCAGCCCAGGCTCAGACCTCTCACAAGGTCTCAAAGAGCTGGAGCACAGCCCAGCACTTCACTCTGGGTACAAACGTGACAAAGCCCAGAGCTGCTCAGGCCTAAGGTTGAGAAAAACCATCAACAACATTTTCAGTGCTGTGACCAATGTGTGAGCTGAAGCATTTCTGAGTACACAGGGGTCCCACACACACAGCAGTGAGGTAAAGAATCCCTTAGAAACACAGAGGGAGATCAGCCTACTAAAAACTCCAATTTCTGATCAGTCTTCTAAAAAGTCAATTCATTAATAGCATAACTACAAGGTGATCAAATTTTTCATAGTATTGACCTTCTACATGTTAGAAAAAAATGAGAAGGGAAAAGAAGAGATCCAGAATGTCTAATTGGCCAATGATTGTTGGTGTTGTCATTATACTGCAAGAGTTCTATTGCAATTACATTGCAAGGGTTCCATATTGCTGGAGTTTTGTACCTCCTTGGTGTTTCTCATAGGCAGCTCCTCCAGACACTGACTCTTCCTTCTTCTCACAGCAGCCAAGTGACTCCAGTTCCCTTTCAACCAACCAATCCACTCTATAACACTTTTCTTATTATTGGCTACAGCTGTGGCCTGTTAAAATCAGGCCTGCTCCTAATCTTTAACAATTAACCCAGCTGAACTCTTTAGGGGGTAAGATTACTTTCTATACTACCTTTATTTACTTATATTCTATCCTCCTACATATTGGTATTTCTACACATTCCCAAATGGATTCCTTGCTAGTCAAAGCCATGATTCAGTGCTGGCAACAGGTCCAGAATGACTTTTTAGATACAGAACTATCAGAGGGTTTCTCACTTCAATCTTGTTGAAAGACACAGATGAGATGTTTTGCTGCTGCTGAGGCCTTTAACCCTTTCCTTGTTTGCAGGTGGTCAGAGACATCCTGCTGATCGGTCACCGGCAGGCGTTTGCCTGGGTGGATGAGTGGTATGGTGAGTGTCCTCCTGAGCCAATTAACCTGCAAATTAACCCTTCCAGGGGGGCTGGGACATGCAATGATTAACAGCAGGTTCCATCTGCTTTCATGGATCATCAGGTCCTAGTGTGACTGGTTCATGGAGGAGATGGAACCATGTTAAAGATCATCTCCTTCCACCCCCTTCCATGGGCAGGGACACCTTTCACCAGGCCAGGCTGCTCCAAACCCCATCCAGGCTGGCCTTGGAGCCCTCCAGGTATGCTGGATCAGGCAGCAGCCAGAGAGGCCTTTCCATGCCAGCATGGCAGTGCACCTGCCCCAGTGCCCCACCTGCCCTGCAGGCAGGACTTGTCTCTATGGAGAACCTCGTGCAGGTTGGAATAAAGCTCCTTCTTAAGGCTGCCTGAACTTGCAGCCATTTCCATCCTGCAGACTCCTAAGGCCTCTGACCCAACACATTTCCAGCTTTTTAGGAAAGTTTTAAGCTATTGATATGGATTGCAACAAAGAAAAGATGGAGCTTTTCTGAAAAAAGATGTAGATAAGCATAAATCCTCTGGGGTCTGATTCAGCAGCAGCTGCATGCAAAAAGTGCTGGAATCCATGAGGCAGCTGTGGGAATGTGGGCACTTCCAGCAGGACAGAGCAATCTGAATATCAAACCAGAAATCACAGTGTCTAAAGTGAGCCCACTGGTTTGTACCTTTTACATGCATCTTCTGTAAGTATCCATCATCACAGCTACTCTTAAAACAGGCCCTGAGACAGGCCATGGAAATACCATAGGAATTTGACAATATATTTAGAATGTTTATTTGGGCCCTCCTCAAGCTTCAGGAAACACTAATTTGGGCATTTCATGGGTGAGGGACACCTCTCTCACCAGAGCTCAGAGCCATTGTGCATTGCTCAGGAAGTCACTGCTGCAAACACATCTCAGAGGTGTCACAGCCCTGCACTGGAATTCAGCCACCAACTCAGTGGGCTCATTGTTTGGAAATAGAGAAAAAATCGCTTTTGAAATCACAGTGTTCTTATAAATTTAATACTGCATGAAAATCTTGTGCTGTAATGGTCATAAAAATACTGGAACTGCTAAAAATATCTTTTTCTATTGGGATAGCTGTAAACTAGTGAGAGAATTTTATATCCAGTGAGAGAGTTCTTCAGAGCTATTTTTTTTTTTTTAATTTTAGATTTGTTTCTTTTTTTACCTGAAATAGAACAATCCATTCTTTTCCCTGTAGCAAGTCAGGGAAACTGATAACTTTAAATAAAACAGCCTGACTTCATGTAAAAATTGAGCCCATAAATTTGCTCCCAGTCTACCCAAAATATCCATACAGTGAGAGATGGAGAATGTTACTGAGAAGCAAAGTGTCAGCTGCACTTTAGCAGAGTTACTGATAATGATGACAAATGAACAGCCATGAAGTTAAACATACCAAACAGGTTTAGCTCAAAAACATTTCACTATAGATTTTCCCCTCCTAAGTCTAAAATCTCCCTGCCAAAAATACTCTTTCCACAGATGAAATACTGTGATACACAATTATCTTGTGGATTCTTCCTTGTCAGAGTGAGCCTTTTTACTAACTAATATAGTGTATTTTTAAGAGCCTAATTATCAGCTTAAGTAAAAAAACTAAAAAATCTGGGCTTAATAAAATAGGTATAATGATCTAGCATCCAAAATATAATTTTTAATGTCTATTAACACCTTTTGAAATGGAAGTTTGAGAAAGACCTGGAGATGATGGTATCAAATGAATCAAATAATCAGTGTAATAAACAATGTGTGTGTTAATGACTGGTTGCTGTTACTGACCCTGTAAGTATGAATGTGTTTTGTCATTTAATTTACTAAACTCTATTTAGGTTTATTATAAAGAAATTCTATTTCCTCAGTGTTACTTACTAATAAAGAGCATGTTCTGTGCTTGGCAAAGTGCATCCCAGCATGTTACTGACACAGCTTCTGGGCTTGTTTCTCATTCCAGACAACAGTAAAAGACTGAAAGAGTACGAGTTAGGGGTATTCCATGTTTCCTTTTCAAATTCCTTGATCAGAATTTCAGACTGCATTTGTTTTTACTGATGGACTATGACATCATGCTGTCACTACAACAGCTGAAGTTGTATCTTGCCTTAAAAGCTGCCTCATAAAATGCAGCAGGAGCTCACAGCACAGAGCAGGGAGTGGTGTGATCCAAGAACTCCCAGATCCCAGTGGCACATCATAAACTGAGGAATATGGGAGCCTCAAGAGCAGATCCCAGTGCCTGACCAAAGGGGCACCCCTTTGCAAACAGACTGTGCTAATAAAATGCTCTTTAAGTGTTTGGAGTCACAAGTGGATGGCTGTTTTTACAAGGCTCTGAAGCTACCAAGGCATCGTAAAGAACAGCCCCAACCCTGACACTGCTCCTGTTCTGACCCCTCACTCCCCAGGGCATTTATGGAAAGCCTGGGAATACTCAGAAGAGTCCCAGGTCAATTATTGGATTCTTTATGTTTTTGCTGGAGCTGTGGTTGGTGACAAATCCTGTTAAAGGTGTTAACCCCCCATTGCCTGGTGTTCCACAGCACTGGCAGGCTGTGCTGGGCAGTGCTCAGTGATCCTGCTGCTGGGATCAGCCTCATCTGGGGGATATTTCTAATTTTCATCACTCATTCAATTGCTTGAGGCTACACAACCATTACCATACTCATTATTAATTCACTTACCAGTTTAAGTGTTAGTTTCTGGAATCTAAAGTGGGCTCTAACACTGTGATTTTTGCTGGTGATGAGATGTACAATGCAAAGTTAACAAAAACTCTTTTTCCAAGTGCTGGAAAGGTAAGTAAGTATTTATAATATTTCTGTATCTATCCTTTATTCCAAAGGATCTTCTAAAATCTCTTTAGAAGATCTTGGCCTTTGCCAAGGCCTGCACTTCAGTACTTTGTGCCTACCTTACATTACACAGATACTCCTAAACAATTTCCACTCCTTCCTGTTCTCTGACTCCCTTTGACTTAACCTTGCACCTTCCTTGGCTGACACAACTACCTTTATGAGGCAATTTTCATAAAGCTAGTTGCTCCTTGCTTTTTAAAAAATCCTTTGTTGGCTTCTGCTGAAAGACTTTGTGTTCCTAGAACCTTCTCCTTAGGAAAAAAAAAATAAGTTTGCACTGAATCAATGGAAAATGCCAACAATTTTGAACTTTTTACAGATATGACTATGGATGATGTTCGAGAATACGAGAAAAATATGCATGAAAAAACCAACATTAAAGTTTGCAACCAACATTCATCTACTGTGGATGAAATAGAGAGCCATGCCAAAGCAAGAGTATGTCAATTTTTGAAACATATTGCCCATCCTCAGCCGATGCATCTGCACAGACCAGAAAAGAGCAACCAATTGCTGATCAGCCAGTGGAATTTTGGGGAGGTTTTGCTTCAATTAGAACAGAATCTTTCTCCATGAAGTGCAATCCTGCCTTTGGTTTGCACTGTAACCCTGCCAGTTATGTAAGGGAGGGTGGGGTTGGGCTCATATACAGCTCCCTGGCTTCCAGGAAAGCACAGTGTTCAAATTTCATTTGGATACATAAAGAAGAGATTAAATAGGATTTTTACTTTCTATTCTTTGAATAGTTAAAAAATACAGGAGTTCACAGTGGTCTAGTCAAAAAGCCAAGAACATGGGGAGTGGAAAACTTCTATGGGATTCACAAAATTCTTTCTTTCACCAGGAAAAAAAATCTAATGAGTTATTAACTCTTTTCAAGGTAACTTTAATGTTACTGCCATTGATTAGACACCAACAAGGTGGGAAGTATTTGCAGAAGTATGTAGCAGTGGTTTGTGGAAAAGGGCAGCTTTCTGTGTAAGTTCTCTGGTCTGGAGATTTCATAAAGTACTTAATTACCTAATTTGGGCTCCACAAGTAGAGGCCTAAATTTAGAGTTTGATACTCTCTGCAAATAGAGAAGATGCAGCAGCCCTTGCCCCTGCAATGTCATTATTCCTTTATTTCTGCTAATGGTGCTGTGGAACTCAGTGCTGGGTTTACTCATGAAATCAGCGTGGGGCAAGGCTTGAAGGGCTCCAAGTCTTCCCTTGGCTCTTGCTCAGTGCCAGCTGGCCCCAGCTGAGGAGATGCTGTCTGCATAGTCCCCGGGCAGGTAATTCTTGTGCTCGTGACACAGCAGCTTCACTGACATCAAGGTTACTCCTTAGCAGAGAATCAGTTCAGATTTTGGCTCTACACTTCAGGATTTGGTTCTGAATGAAGTCTGCCACCTGTAGTTTCCATGTGGAAAAAATTGTTATTGAGTTCAGAAGAGAAGTTGTTATTAATGAAAAAAAAAAAAGAAAGTGAACCTGAGTCTTCCTAGCTCAGTGTAAGGACTGTTTTACTTGAGTGTATATCTCAGCAGAAGGAAATTAAAGCAAATATCAATATATCAATATCAAGCAAATATTAAAGCAAAAGTCAATTGAAGTGTTTAATGTCTGAATTGCAAATAAAGAGTCTTGGAGGCTCCATTCAGTAAGACTTCACTACAAAGGACAGTACACTGGCAAACCTTCCTGTCCCCTTCATTTGTCCAAGACAGCTTTTGGTTCACAACGTACAGAATTCCTCAATCAAAATCCCTGTGATTTCAGTGAGATCTGGGACACTTTGAGCGCAGAAATTCTCACCCACTGTTACAGGGTGTGAAATGAAATGTAAACCAGCAAAACAGGTTCAAACCTCTCTCCAACATGAGTAGGTACAGTTCCCCTGGGACCATCTGTTTATTGCCAGCACTTCTGTCAGATCTGCAACAGGCAGATTCTCACTCCTAATGGTGCCAGTGTGGGCTGGAGAGGTCCCCGCACTGCGGTGCAGGGGGAGCCAAGGCAGCCGGCACCGTGCACGCCTTCGATTATTTCATGGGATGCTGGAACACAACAGAAAGCTGCTTCAACAGCCAAGGTTGCAAAGTCTGCAGCTGGGCAGGGGCAAAAAGCATCAGTGCCCTGGAAGGACAGGATTATTTTATCACAAATTTGGTAATCCCCACTGCCAGCCCTGTGCTTCAGACACTCGAATATGTGAGACTTCTTAATTGATTAAAAGACTCCTGGTTTTATTTCTATATTTTTGATCTTTCATGGCTCAAAGAATCTATAAATGGTCTAATGAAATACTTCAAATTTATGAATTTAACTTGACATTCAGCAAAAATCTTAACATTGCCTTCAGTTGGCTCGGTGGGCGTCTTGCAGGCACTGCAGACACGGAGCAGCAGGTTCCAGAAGATCTTTGCTGATTTTCTGCTCAACTTCCCGGTTGGCAGCAGATGTCACTCCCGGGGTTTATCACAGGTTCCGCACGGCTCCGTGCTGGGATCGCGCTGCCCTCTTGCGGGGCTGGGCAGCACCAGGACAGCCCCGGGACAGCCCCGGCCCCTCCGCGCTCGGCCCGCCCGCCTTTCCTTCCCCGGGGGCTTTAATCCTCATCTCCCCTGCCTGCGTTCCGCGGGGAATTGAGCGTTTGAATCTTGCGGCTTTGTCAAGGGAGAGAGAATTCCTCAGGCTTTATTGGCGGAAAAGCAAAACAGGCTCGGTCCTTGCATGAAGCTGCAGCTCGAGTCAATGGAAGGAGAGAGAATTTTTCATCCCTTGATAATTACAGCAGATGAACAAACCACGACAACCCTTTGCCCACTTGGTCTTATAATCGAAATGAAAAATTTAAAACCCCTTTCAGTTGTATTTTGTTTGAAGTTCTAAAAAACGCTAGCCGCTGACTGTATCCAAACGTCCTCTTTAGTTGCCTGTGGAATAGCTGGATTTTGCCAGCAATTCCAGAGGCGGCAATCTTTATTCAGCTCAGACCCAGGTACAGGAACCATTAGTACGTGATTAATGTACTTAAAACTCTGTTTCCTTTACATCGTGCTCATTGTGCTCCAGTCAGTGCCTGACAATGGGGAGGCATTCATGCGGAGAAGCACTTGATGAGATGCGTGATAAGCAATCGTTCCCTGCTTTAGGATTTGGATGGAAGTAGTTTTAACTGAGTTAATGAAATGATTATTTGAAATTATTCTAACACGCCTTTGTCTTTCATTCCTTCTGGTTGAAGACATGACAATGGATGAAGTCCGAGAGTTTGAACGAGCCACTCAGGAAGCTACCAACAAGAAGATTGGGATTTTCCCACCGGCAATATCTATCTCTAGCATTTCCATGCCTTCCTCGACCCGCAGTGCTCCATCTAGTGCTCCATCAACCCCTCTCTCCACAGATGCTCCTGATTTCCTAACAGTTCCCAAAGATCGGCCTCGGAAAAAGTCTGCTCCAGAAACTCTCACTCTTCCAGATCCATCGAAAAAAACCTTTTAAATTACCCCTGCATGTTTCCTCCTGATAAGCCATGTCTGCCACAGCAAGAGTGACATAACTCCATTGCTACAAAGGTCGTGGTGGTTTGTTGGTTGGTTTTTTTGTTTGTTTCAGATAATCTTTCCGGTGTGGAAAGATGACTCCTTTCCTCAGACTTGATCCTTAAAACCTTATGAAAAGTGCATGCAAGAGAAAGTAGTTTATATATTCCTAAAGTAGTGTTTCAAGCCATATGGTGCATCTTACTGACACCAATGGAACAGTCTGAGGGGATGCTATAAACGAAAACCAATCTTTCTGTTGCAGTACTCTGCCTGCAAACCCTCATCTAGGTCACAGCATTTATAATTAGGAGTAGGTATTAAGTAAATCTGCCAAGGACTTCTGAGGCAAATTAGTGCCAACTAGAATGCAGGGTTAACAGAAAAAAACCCTCCCATTTTCTTCTTTTATAACCAATTTTAAAATCTTTCCCTCTCTCAGGCTTCTCCTGTGTGTTCATAAACCTTTGACCTGTAACTCATTGTACTTGAACACCAACAGATCCACATTTTGCTTAATATGACTCAGGATTTGGGGCCTAAAACACAAAACACAAATCTTTTCAAACCTAAAATATCACTGTATCAAAGCCCCAGTTGTAATTAATTATACCGACTTTGAGGCCATTGAACTATTTCTACCTTGCACAGAATTTGTAACAGGAACCACCTATTTCTTGTAGATAATGTATTTTACTATCCCTGTCCTTTTGTGAGCTCAGAGTGTTGGTGTTCATCAGTGGTGTTCTGTGCCATTGGAAAAAGCAGCTGAATTGTGCCAGTTGAGAAACAAAAGCAATGAATTCTGTCTTTTCCTCGCTGCAAGAAGAGCAGTAGTCAGGCTGGGAGACCTTGAATGCAAAGGGAAGAAAACAGGAGACTCCTTTTTCTTTCCTGCCTTGCATCTCTGCTAAACAGAACAATCTGACAAAGCTGGGTTCAGGCACTGCCTCACTGGGGAAGGGGGACAAAATCAGTCACTTCAAAAAGCAAACCAGGGGTGGGTGATGTTGAGGAACCAGAAGTGGTCTTCCTGGTGTGTGTGTGTGTGTGTGAAATCATTCCTCAATCTCAGGAATTCAATTGTTGACAAGGATGTTTCCCAGAGGGAAGTGTAGATGGTGGAAGAAGGAGAAAAATAAATGGCAGGAGTGGCTCTTCTTTCCTTCTCTTCAAAGCATGAACTGGGTGAGACCCTTTCCTTGTGCCCCTCTGTGGGACACTTTGCTCTCCCCCACACAAGCTCTGCTCCATGGCTGCTGCAGCTCCTTCCCTTGGTGACATCAGGGAGCCACTGTCCAATTCCAGGGAATGACAGCTCCTACCTGAACCATGATCCCAGTGGGTGATACTTTGTGCCACCACTGATGGTTCATGGATGGAGGAAAAAAGAGACTTCTCCAGAGCTGAGCTGTCCCTGGATATTGAACACTCAGTTTGGGGGTGCCCAAACCTGGGCCACAGTGGCTGAAATGCACTGAGCTCCTCGCTGGCTGCAGCTGCAGCACAAGTTTTGTGAAATGAGTGGTATTTGGGGAGAGGTTTTAGGAGCAGCAGCAATTCCACTGCCAACCTGCACTGAAACAAGTGTTCATTTGTCTGATAGTGAAAATCCTGCAGCCAGCAATGTCCAGGAGCTCCCTGCAGGTTTGCTGTGGTCCTGCATTCTCCCATGTCCTGTCCAGGCTTGGCTTTGCTTTTCTTTCCAGAGCTGGTAATTCTGACTCATTGGTGACCTGATGGGTGATGCTGCTTTGTTTAAAAATGTTGCTGTAATACTGAAAACAAAACTTTCCTACACAGGTTTATGATTTCCATTTAACACATTATGGAATCATAGGATCATGTGTAATTTTTTATTGTTATTATTGATTTATTGTATCAAGATTGGAACATTGACAGCAAAGGGAAACCTTTAAAAACATAAAACGTTGCTTGGTTATTTTCTCATTGCCTGACTTTGGCCCGTACAGAAATAGTTCAGGTCTGCTCCACCTGAAAGTCTGTTTCAATGGATTTTTAATTTGTCCAAGACAAATTTGCTCAGCTCTATTCAGTGTCCTGGTGCTCATGTGACTGTTTCTATTCACATTTTGGAATCTGGGTTTGACACAGATTATTAGACCATAGCAGTTCCATCTTTACTGATTTTAACTGATTGATTTCCAATTGATCATGATATTAAGCAGGTTTGGGGACAAGTCATTTGTGAAAATCATTGGACAGATTTGAGTATCTGCCTGGCAGAGATGTGAGAGAGAGACAGGGATCCTGGAGTGTCAGAGTGACAGGACTCCCCCTGCTGTGCCCAGCTTTAGTGTCCCCCCCTGGATCCAGCACTGGCAGGGTCAGGAGCAGCCACTCTGCCTCTGCTGCTGCTGCTCAATCAAGGCCAATTAAAAGATCTTAATGTGTCCCTGCTTTGGATAAGAGTACCCCAGGTTTTCCCTGATTGTGGAAGTGCCCAGTGCTCAGTTCTGTCTTGGTTTTCCCCAGCAGTCATCACCCATCTGGTCAATGACAGGATCTTTAAATGCCTTTTTCTGTTTGGTTGGCTGCTATTTAGGGTAAGATAGCTTTTTCTAGAATATTCCCAGCAGGCACACATGAAATGAAATGAAATGAAATGAGAAGGAAGGTCTGAGTATTTCAGTGTTACACCTTGAGGAGAAGGGATTGTTTTCAGTGCTGATTTTTCCCTTTCTGTTGTGTTTTCAGACATGTTTATTAGGATTAAAATAGAGAGTTTTGCAGGTGTTCCTCACTTTGTTTGCAAAAATAAATGCTGTGATTATTGACTGGGTGCAGCCTCAGAGCTTGGTGAGCACAGCCCATGTTCCTCTTCTCTGCCACAGTGACAAGAATCCCGTGATGCAGCCCTGCTAGGACTTGGCAAGGAATTTTTTATCAAGGAGAAAATAGTTCAGAGCAAAAACTGTGATGAGTTTGTTCAGGTTTCTGTGAAAACCTCCAGGCTTTGCTTGTACTTTTGTGTATTTTGGATAGAACAATCATTACAAAACAACTGGCAATTCAGTGCAGCTTCAGAAGGGTCGATCTCCTAAAAAATCAAAAAGGGAGGGACCCACAAAAGTTGTTCCTGAAACATGTACTTAATGGGATTTCTTATGAATGTAATGGTTAATTTTGTAAAGGACTGGATAACTACTATGGAAAGAAACTATTTGACCTTGTTCTTTGGCTTTTTTGATTATTCTGGAAGGTGATTTTGTGACATCTAGTAGCCAATTTGCATTAATTGCTGCTGTAGAGACTTTGAAACTGAAATATTTGTTCCTTGAATTTCAGTTTGTAACAAGACCGCTATACTTTGCTAAAACTGCTTTGAAGCTTGCTGCACTATAACTTCAAAACAATGTGTTATCCTTTGAAATAAGCCAAATGTATATGCTTTTTATGAATTAGTGAGTGCAGTAAGAGAGAATTCAAAATCTTGTCAATAGGAGATTTTCTGTTGCCATTGTTTGGACTTGGTTTTCTATGTGTAAGTTAAAATTGCTAAATAAGTCTAACAATGTTTTGCTTTAAATGAACAGCACGGTCATTGAATTATGATCTCCTGTAGTTTTGTGGTGTCACTAAAGCAGGTTTTATTGGTTTCTTTCATTTCTGTGATAATTCCACGTGATTCTGTTATGTCCAGTAATTAATTTCTCTTATTTAGAGCACTGATGGCAACATCAGGCAATGCATCACCACCGTCAAAGAAGGACCAAGTCTTGATTTGCTCTGCACGTTCAATAGTGCAAAGCTCAGCAGGAGAATTTGACTGTCATTTATCTCATATCACTTAGTTTCTGTTTTTTTCCAAGTTATTTATTATTTTTAATATTGTATTTTTCGTTGCATTTTGTTGTAAATAAACTACCAACAACTATTCTTTACAACGGTGGCTGTTTTCTCTGGGTCTCCTGTAGGCAGAAACCTCCTCATTAACATGTAACATTGACATTTCTACCCCAGCTCTGCAAGTCACTTCCTCAAAATTAAACAGCACAAAGAATTAACTTTGTGAGGAAAATTTAAAGCACTTGCAGCCTCTCCTGGGTTTTGTTGTCCCCCAGCTCTGTAAAGGTTTTACCGGAGCAGGTGCCTCATCGGTCTGGCATTAGCCCATTCACTTGTAAATGACCATTGGGTTGACAAGGAAGTTTTTCATTGGGGAATCTAATTCTTTATGCAGGGTTTGGCAGCTCAGTGTTGTACCAAGTAACTGGAAAATACTGGAAAAGAGACCACTCGAATGCTCTCAGGCTTGTCTCCAAGTCAGTTAATTTTAGTCACCAGAAGTTTCCCTTGCACAACGGTTCTTTATAAGCTTTTACACAGAGACTTCATTTCCTCCATAGAAACGGAGCTTTCCCTGCTCCAGAGCAGCGGCAGCGCTCATTCAGGAGGGAAAAGCTTCCGGGCAGCGTGGGACAGGGCACGGGGAACAAAGAGGGGACTGGGAATGTTTTAAATTGGAAATGGGACGGCTCAAAGGGGACACAGCCCGCACAGCCCCGGGGACACCTCGGCAGCCGCTGGGTCACCGTGCCCGGCCCTGCCACCGGAGCCCACAGGGACCCCCAGGGACCCGCACTGACCTCTCACAGCCTGGGCTCCTGGTCTCGGGTACGGCTGCGCTGAAATCTGCACACGCTCAACATCCCACACAGGAAAACACAACGCGGTGAAAACCTGAACGGGACCCTCCGGCTGCGCGGTCAGCGGGGCGGGCTGTGCTGCCCTGGGGACAATCCCTGCCCCGTGCCGCTGCCCTGGGGACAATCACACCCAGTGACACTGC